GCTGACAGATGCATTTCAAGTAAGGACCGGAGTCAGACAAGGCTGTCTACTCTCTCCCTTCCTCTTTCTTCTGGTGGTCGACTGGATTATGAGGACCTCGACATCTGAGGGAAAACACGGAATACAATGGACAGCTTAGAACCAATTAGACGATCTGGACTTCGCAGATGACCTAGCCCTCCTATCACGTACACACGAACAGATGCAGATGAAGACAGCCAGTGTAGCAGCAGTCTCTGCATCAGTAGGCCTCAGCATACACAAAGGGAAAACCAAGGTCCTCAAATTCAAAGCGGAGAACAGCAATCCAATCACTCTTGATGGCGAAACTCTGGAAGATGTAGAATCCTTCACATATCTGGGAAGCATCGTCGATAGACATGGAGGTTCAGATGCAGACGTAAAGGCGAGGATTGGCAAAGCAAGGGCCGCATTCCTACAATTGAAGAACATATGGAACTCAAAACAACTTTCAACCAATATCAAAGTGAGAATCTTCAATACGAACGTCAAGGCAATTCTACTGTATGGAGCTGAAACTTGGAGAACTACAACAACCACAATCAAGAAAGTACAAGTATTTATAAATAGCTGTCTACGCAAGATACTCAACATCCATTGGCCGGATACCATCAGCAATAGCCTTCTGTGGGAGAGAACAAACCAACTTCCAGCTGAAGAGGAAATTAGGAAAAGACGATGGAAATGGATAGGACATACATTACGCAAATCGTCAAACTGCATCACGAAACAAGCCCTAACTTGGAATCCTGAAGGGAAGTGGAAAAGAGGAAGGCCAAAGAACACATTACGTCGGATAATAGAAGCAGATATGAAAAGGATGAATTACAACTGGAAGGAGCTGGAAAGTATTGCCCAGGACAGGGTTGGATGGAGAATGCTGGTGAGCGACCTATGCTCCTTCACGAGGAGTAACAGGTGTAAGTAAGTAAGTAAGTAGCCGGACAGCACATAAACGACTGTTGACGGGGATCCACTCTAGCAGTGCATGTTCCACCCTCATGCTTAGTGCTATCCCTACACCTGCCAGTCCACGAGAACTGGCCATCTGGTCACCAGATACACGGAGGGTGTATCTCGTTGACTCTCCGTTTTGTCGAGGTGAGGCCAAGTGAATGACCACACTGGAATCCTGTATGCGTGTTTCGGAGACACAGCATACATCAATGGAAAGAGACTCTAGTGTTTTAGCCAAGGAAGCCTGCTGACCGATTTGACATAGGGTGCGTACGTTGAAAGCTCCAATGTGTAGTTTGGAGCGAGGTTTCAGTAGACCTGGGACAGAGTTTTGAGCACTAGAATCGTTGGCTATGGTGACACTTGAGGAGGAAGCCGAAGGAGGAAGTTTAGAGTTGAAAGTCGATGTAGGAGGAATAATAGGAATTGAATAGGAAGGTTGATTATGAATACAGTGGTCTTGGGTGCTGTTAGAGGTATGAGGGCGGTTATCACTTCCCGGTTGCCCACACCGTGGAAGGGTTCTTCTGGAGGTACCCGAAAAGGAAATTGGATTAGAGGCAGTCTCAGTGACGTGAGAGCGTGACCGCAGTGCCCAAGGGATAACTGCTTGAGGCCGGTCGCGCACGGCCTTTTCGTGGAAGGTTTTTGACGTGTTAGCTCTGTACTTGTTGAGACCTTACCGCCAGAGACGGATGTCCGTGGGGTAAGGCGAGGTGTGTATTTTTAGGGTCGACCTTTTCTAACCCCACCCCTTCTTGTGGGAAGGCAGCATCGCTGTTATGCTGGTTGTCTGAAGGAAACGCCTTACTGCGGTCACACCTCTGTATAGTCAGCAGTACGACTTCGCCTTCGGACCTTGGGTTTGTTGCTTTTAGTCTTACTGCTCTTCTAACGACCTTTCTGACGTGATAAGACCTTGAGGAACAGTTGTTCCAGTCAGTATAACACAGTTGTTTCATCACGATAGGCAAGCCCGACCACCACGTCAAGCTAGCAACAACGGTCGGGAAAGTTATTCCTAATCATCAAATGCATAACAAACATTTTAATTTGTAATAGTGCTCGAACAAAAAAAACTGAGTAAAAAGTGAAAAAGTTAAGCATTAATGGTGCAAGATGCCGAAATGTAAGCGTACTTTTACAAGCGGAATTCAGATGAACAATCAATAAATTTGCATTGAATCTGATTTACACCAAATAAAAATGAAATGATGTTACAAGTAAAAATTGTTCTCCTATGAATCACTAAACAAAAATATTAATTATGCACTAGTTACTGAATATAATGATTATCTAGTCGGTTGCTGTACGGTCAGTTGTTAATATAGTTATCAATTACGTAGACCTGTGGAAACAATTATTAATGATATTTATGATGTGTTTAACAACAGAAATCTATATATTCAAATAAAATCAGTTAATATGAAAGGTACACATTATAAAATCATTCAATTAACGAGTAGTGTAAAATACAAAATTAGGGAAGATATAATATCAGAAGGGGTTTTGTGGAGATTTTTAGAAATCTCAATAGTTGAAATCATGAGTCGATTGAAGCTAAACCACCAGTGCTTTCAGGTTTTCCATGGTGGTCTAGCTTCAAATGACTCATGATTTCAACTATTGAAAATATAATACTGAACTGATTATTCAAATTTATAATACATGAATATTATACACGTGAGCTTTCTTTGAAGATTTCTATAATTAAATGATTTTTTTGTAAGATAAACTGATACCAGCTGTAAAATAGCTGACAAATGCACAGTAAATTAACTGTATAAATATGTTATCCTCGTTCAATAAAAGCCAGAAATTACAATACGAACTCATTTTTAAAAACCTGAATTTATTAATGTTACACATTGACTGATATTTCTTAATGGCACTGTTGATTTTTTGTATCACACAAACAGAATTGACCTTTTTTCTTGATAAAATGAAGTCAGTAGTCGAAAACCTTATGTTCATGCATTTCACTAATCAATAATAACTAGATATTTAATCCTCTAACTATGGATTGTAATTTCTTAGTGAAAGCAAGTGTGTGGATGAGAGCGCACACTTGCATACATAACATAAAGTTAATTGATACAATGTCAATGTTTAACTATATCATATAACAAACGTTACAAAATATTAAATTTTTTCAATCTATATAATGTGTAAATTTTTCTTGACCATGATAATACATTTTGTAAACTGAGACAAATAAAGAATTCAGCAAAGAAATACCTAGAGCTGAAAATAATCTACTACTTAGACCAAACATAGTAATTTCATTAAATCATAAGTTTATAAGTTGATAGATAATAAACATAAAAATTAGATTGTTAAAACTGATTATAATATGTACAAAACCCTGATCAATTTGTTTTCAGAATAACATTTTTTAAAAATAGGTTACATTGAAATTATTGTTTCGGTTGTACAACCTATTTCAATCGATTTTTTAAAAATCTATTCTATAAAATGTTACAAATATAGGCTACATAGTTCTTTTCATCAGATATTCGATAAACAAAAAAACTGTCCAACGTTAGTATGGATAAATAGAACTAGATATATCCAATTGTTCAGTTAGAATGCACATGTATAAGTAACTTTTTTGAAAAAAATTGTACATATTAAGACAAAAACTGATAGTTAATAGTTCAACACATTTACTGAACAATGATACCTAGTTTACGTATTAATTGCTCAACCACTAGTGATCAATATTTTATTATCTTTATTTATTTATTTTAACACATAGATATTGATACAAGGAGGCACCAAATACATATGCACCACACAAATCTCATTCGATATGTGTAAGGGCTGTGATACTGCCCGGGTGCCCGAACCGACGTTCACATTACAACGATCAACTTGAACTATCATTAACCTAAGTACAGTCGTATGTTCTATGCAAGATGTTATGTAATTGAAGAAGAGTAGCCGAGGAACTTATGGATTGGTAGTCATTTTGCGACTTGGTCGATAGGATTCGATTACCACTAGGGACCAGTGAACTTCAAATAAAGTCTGTTGTGTTCGGAAAAAACTAGTAGCAACGTCTGTGACAAATGGTAACGGGTTGTAAACATGCAAGGAGTATCAGTTTCCTTAAAGTTCGTGATAACCATTTATTGATTAGTGGCAACGAAGTCAAAACTCTCAGTCAAAAAATCCTAAAAATTACCATAAATCTACCACATTCTATTTTATGAATAAAAATTGGACTGAAGCAACTACAGTATATTTAGTCTAGATTTATCCTACTGTCAAACGAGATACCATTAAGTTGGCACCACTTTATATTTTTCAAAATACAAACAATTATTTTAGCTCATCATTTGTTGTAATTATCGGAGTTGGTTTACAACGGACAGAAGTGAAGTAAGATTTATGGAAATTCGTAATGGTTCAGGGTTCTCATATTTTGAGAGATATCACGGAAAAATCTGTAGAGGAAATTCAGTGGTCCCAGTAGTAGTAGAGACCGAAAAAAAATTTAACAAATTACGAAAAGAGGGAATGTAACACAAAATAATGTAAGATTGAAGATCTAGAGGAAGGTAACGGCTGGCAGAGTCTTCCATAATGTAAACTATTTTGAGTTATAATTCTTTAAGTGTCCAACAGTCGACAATTCTTGTACCACTAGCTTTAACAAGAAAGCTTGAACTTACCTGTATACTTCAGATTTGAAACCATTCGAGAAGAAAAATGGAATAGCTAAATTACATTTGAAATCACGATTATCTCTGAATTGCGATATTCATATTTCACAACAGTGAAGAGCTACACAAACATGAAACGCGAAGCGCATCTACCCATTTCACTGCTTATGATTATACTAGTTATCGAAGTAGACGTGGTTTAAAATTAATATTTTGCAGTTCGGATGAGACTAATGAAGTTGAAAATAAATGAATTTAAATCGTTTTTGAGGAGTGGCACTTTTTAATATACAGAGAGCAGTCTATATTAACAAAATGAAAATATATATTGTACAACCCATGAAAAAATCTTACCAAGATTGGTTCAGAACTAAATCGAACTCTCGGTTGTTTGACTAGACTATCACTGCTACCTGAACGTTTATTGACTAATTTCCTTGTAGTTATTGATTTTGGTGAATTAGATGATGAAGATACTGAAAGGATTTTGTCCATATTTGTTTTAACATTTTCTTCATCGTTTACTTGTTCAGCAGGATATGAAGGAGATATTAAGTCGGAAATATTGGTAACATCCTCACGTGAGTCATAAAAATCTGAATCATCTGAATACTTATCAGTTAAGCCAGGAAGAGCGTACAGAAAGTTACCATCTTCAAAAATATGAACTCCATCGTCATCAACTGTTAAAAGCGAAAAAATGTATTATAAAATTAAAGATTACCTATTAAAGTATGATAAATTAGATAAAACTCAAACTACAAAAGTAGTATGTAATACAAGAAAAAAGAAATGAGATGGTTTCGGTTGAATCAACGAATTTTCCCCTACACACTATATTGCAGTAAACACAAAGAAACACTACATATACTTAGATATGTGACAGTGGAAAATGACTGATAATAAATATCATAATCGGTTAATCAATATTTCCAGTTCAATCGAATTCATATTGTGTTGTAACGAATCATGATATTTATGGGAAACAGAATCCATGGGTACGTTTTGCTTGTAATTAATCAAAAAATAGTAATGTTAAGTAATCATTGTTTGTTTGCTGAATATTATACAAATTTCAAACAGGAATGTTGAACTATTCGTCGCATTATAAACTTATAAGTGCATCGTTTATTCGTTAAGTTACTTAAAATGTATCATACAAAAATCTATCATTTGAAGAAAGAACATAAGAAATGGGGAAATCTTTTAAACATCTGATGAAGGAAACGTTTGAATATTTCAACTATATATTAAAGAGAGAGAACTATTTGTAACACATTAAACGAAACATGGATAAACAGAAAGTAGTATTTTAACCCGGGATAAATAAAAAATTGTCAGGAATCTTTATTTGTAGTTTTTACTGCTACAAAGCTGAGAGTTTATCTCTATAGTGTGGAAAGTTCAATTACAAAATATGACTGTATTATGTAAAAAGGAACAATTTCATGCTAAAACAAGCTAATGCATTGTGAACTGGATGTAATAACTCCCAGTTTCGATTCTGATACGTAGACATCACAATTCCTTATTCTTCCCTAGACCCAGCTACTCCCGTAAGACAGGATTTATGATAAAGAATTGTTCGGTAGAGATGAAAGAGAGAGGGCATACGCACAAATATATACGCGTAATGCCATTGAAAAAGGATCTTTGATCGCGGTAAAAAAAAGATTTCTGCACAGAGATCTGTAGCAACGAATATGAAATTAAAATCTATAAAGTAAACTACCAAAGTAACCAGTGAAATGTTTTTTGGTGTTGAAAATTTGCAACATTCAGAGAATTTAAAACAGAGTAGTAAATCAATAAAAATACACAGAATATTCAAACATATATTTTGTCCATAAGAGATAATCTTACTCGTCTTGTAGTGTACAACATTTAAATTCACCCAGCCAGTTATAACTTGAGTGCTGTTAGAGGCATCGTAACCAATGGTTGGAGACTTGGTGACATGGCTCAGAATCGATGCCAATGGCGTAGGTGTATACACTCTCTATCTTCAATTAAACTAAGAGATTAAAATCGCTTCATATCTTTCTTTCTACGAACTAATCCTTTCTTCTTGTACTTGATCCTTATTGCAATCTTTCTTATTTATATTCCACCTCTGAATTAACTACTTTTATGAATCCGGTGTCCATCTTGTTGTGTTAATGAGGTATGGCAACGTGGAACGATGCATGTATGTTCCTGGTCCTACGTTGAAGCTGACTGACTGACTGAGTCAGTTATAAACAACGTACAATATGGTACTAACGTGCATAGACCAAACTTATCAGACATCAACATTAGTATATAGCTTAATAAAAACAATGAACAACTACTACTTTGTCAGTGAATATTCTTTTCCCATAACAGAGAAGATTATAAATGAAGAGAAATCCACAGTTTACATTACTTAATCAATGTATTACTGTTATCAGTTTTTACCAGCGAATATATTAAGTAGCTTAAAAATGACTATTGTGACAAAAATGTTGGGAGTTAACAAAAAAAGCTTATGTAAATACAGTTATTTGCTTTCAAGATAAAACACTAACTTACATCAATAATATTGTTATGACTTACATTAATATTAAACATATAACAATATATTATTATGTGAACTTATGCATAATGCATTACAATTGCATGACATTTCAGTTGTTTTTTTGTAATTGAAACAAAAAGGATTGACTTCAAGCATAGGTTGACATAAAACGAAATGAACAATGAATAATTATATCTTGACGATAATCAAATAAGCATTATATCTGGGAAATCACTAGACAACACATACACACACACACAACTAAGGATAATAAATGACTTTACTGGAACATCTTGATAAATATAAAATGCACTACTAAAAGAAAAGAACGTTCAATGTTTCAGAGGACAAATGACTTAAGTAAAAAAAAAAGAAAGCAATAGAATTTCGAGTGAAAAGAAAACGACAATAAAATAATAATGAAGCATTTTATTAAGGATCATATTTCAACAACAACAACAACAACAATAAAAGTAAATATGATTCATTTTTAACAATAGAAAAATTGAATAGTCGAAAAGTATTTAAGTACAAACAAGGAAACAATAAAAATAAACATGGGACAGTTATTCTTTATAATCATAGTGTACAATATTATTTTCATTATCAATGTGAATAAATAAAACAATTAAATAAATAATGAAAAAATATACAGAATAAACATCATGAATACTTTAATAGAATTAAATAATACAACACATTGTACAAACACTACTCATAATATGTATAGGTTTGTATGATATTAAGAAATATTATGTAAAATGAATCAACTGAATAGTCCATTTATTAATTTACAGAATTAATTATGCATGTTACTATCTACTTATATGATGTTAAATTGATGGTATACACAGTAGAGAGATATGATAAATTCAATTCAAAGTATTTAACGTGAAATGAAAATTAATTAATACTAGTTGGAATAATTACTTAAAATACGAACTATGCATCTGTGATTATTTAAATGTAGTAATAAAATGGGATCAATTTATATGAGTGCCTATATTTCAATCGACATAAGATTAAAAAGGAAAGTGAAGTATTTTTTTGTAATTAAGCAATAATATTTTGTATAATCTTTCAACTTACCAGCCACAACATTTAATCCTTTCGGAACAGGTAAAGTGATCAGTGGATTAAATGATGTATTACACTGAGATGAACTAATAACAATTTCAAAAGAGTTTTCAGTATTGTCAATATTTTCATCTAAGCCATCATCATCATCTTCAGCATTTACTGCAACAGGTTCAGCATGTTGTAGTACAGGAAGATCATCAATGTTATCTTTATATACAATTTCAGGAAATAGAGACTTGTGAAATGCTTCAGGTCGAATAACAAAATCCTACAAAACACAATTAATAAATCGATAATGAAATAAGTGAAAACAAAAGGAACACAGAAATCAAAGCATAATTAGGAATGAAGCTTAATACAATAAAGAAGTCACATAGCACATAGCCGAGAAATCTGGGCGATGTATTTAATTATTTGTTAGTAGTGAGAATTAACAAAAACCCTTGATAAATGAACTCACTGTTGGTTTAATAAAGCGAATACATTAATAATGTACACGACGGTTGTAATCTACAACTAATCTAACTAAATACGTATACCAGAGTGAGAATATGGAAAAGTACAAGGATTTAAAATAATAATAATAATGATAACCTATTTTGTTGACTGTATGTATGGGCAAACAATAAATTTCAAACATTCACATATAAAAAATCATCTTGAGTTACGGGGAATAAAACGTATTTAATTTAGATTGTCTGAGATGTTTCTCATTGATCGATTGATTTACGTAGAAATAGACGAATACACAGTTGAGCTACTTACTGCAGCTCCAACAGTAAAGTGACTAGGTCGACGACACAGGTGATTAGAATGAATTCCTCTTTGATTAGTGTTGCAGTCAAATGATATTAAAACAGCTACATAAAGATAGATAATAAAATGTTGTCACTTAGAAAATATTGCTGAAGGAACATAGGGTACAAATACACTTAACTTTCAAATCCCAAAGACTAGTTGTTTTGTAATTTTATAAAAAATCTCAAGATAGTATCAAAACGTTTTATAGAAGAATTGTATTATACAAATCCTATTGCTTCATCATTAAAACGTTATTATTATTGATCGTGACTTTTGACAGACACAACGAATCATTAAAAGAGAATTTTCGTAATGAATTTTTAACAGTACAAGAATAGACTAATTTTAGAATTCAGTCGTTATGTTTGCTTCAGTAAAACACACTTGATTTCTAAAATGCCGTTTGGAATGCTATTAACAGAACATTCAAGAGAAACTTCATCCATACACAAATATGTGCAAAGATAGGGTTTAAAGTGAGAACAAAAAATTTAAATTATTTAATGCCATACCTGGACATCCGAAGAATTTGATATTGTACATTGATGATCAACAGAAGAATTGCATATGCTGAAACAACAGTAACGAATTAACAAAGAATCATTATATCAAATGTTTTGAAACAAATGATAAATATCATGTAATACGGAACAGATTAAATGAAGATATGGAATCAATGAGCATGAGAGCAATGACTGTTCAAACTAAGTTATGTTACGGAGTATGAACTTCCTGGTCGGTGACTGAGAGATAATAGAATAATCGGTAAGTAAATTAACTCATTCATCAGGCAATTGAATATGAGCATGAGAGCTAATGCTACCAGCCAGCTTCCCAAACCGAAGTAGATGGAGCGTGGTTCGAACCCGGAAATTAATGGCTGGAAGTCAAAAGCCTTGACGACTAAACCACCACTCCGCATTTCTTTGTAATAATATTCAATAAATATCAATGCATATTACCAAAGCATATTAACATTTTGTAAAATTATAAAGATGAGAAGTAGCAATTAACAGTAAGATAAAAGGTAGACAAATAAACATTGAATAGCATGATATAATTAAAATTATATATCAGAAGCAAGAAACAAACAGATATCTTTTCAAATACACTAAATTGAAAAGGTGAATCTTTCAAGGTTTTGAAGTTTAAGTAAGTGTACTAGTATGGGTAACCGAATTCTGAAAACTGAACAAAACAAACAGTATTTACATATGACGATAATGATAAATTACGAACAGTTAGAAGATTGATTTAAGATTTTTTTATCCACATAAGTATAAGGAAATGTTTACTTCATTTTTGTCTAGTATAGAGTGGATATAATGAAATCGGAGTACATTTGAAAGATAAATGGGAAACAGAACACTACACAAGTAGGGAAAATCATAAATCCAAAAAAATGAAGATTCAATAATCTCTTGATAATTGAAAATACAGCATAGCAGCAATGATTCTCATTAGAATAATAATTTGTTAAATAAATAAGAAACATCTGTTTAAAGGGTCACTTACGAATGAGTTGATTGTGAGTTTAAATCTTCGGAGGGTTGAATGGCTGTTTCGTAGGATTGGCGATGAGCTAAAAAAATTTTGAGAATAAACCAACCATAGAAAATTTGATTGATTCAAGTAAATGATTAGAATAAAAATATTTAAGGATGATTTCCTATCAGTTAACTTATTGAATAGTAATTAGCTTATTAATGCATCATAAAATCATAAAGGCCATTAAACACTATTTCATTGAAGTAGTCAGTCAGTCAGTCAGCTACAACGTAGGACCAGGCACATATGTGCATCGGTCCAGGTTGAAGTAGTTATCATATCTGTTTTCATCACGAACTTATTGTAATTTAAACACGAGCCTTAGATCCTATTTTTATACCGTAAATGCCCTATTGTGACATTTAATGTATTATTTTATTTATTGTGCGTTGTGATTCAACCATTCATATTTATCCATGTACTCTTTATTGTTAAATAATAATCGGATATAGAGGTCTCTACCGTAAATGTCTTTTCTTTTCCCAGACAATGAATAGCATAATTTCACTGCCCTCAATATTATGCTAACTAACCTACAGTATTAACCCTATTAACTAGCTCCAAAGTACATCTCCCTGCATATCTAAGGGCAGAAACAGTGAGGAGATTAAGGTTCGAAGTGATTTAGTTAGATGTAACAATTAATACTAGTATTACTTCCACCGATTGATTTGGTTACATTTATATTTATTTATGATTGATTGTATTCAATCATTTAGTGGATAATTTAAAAGACTTTTAAACTATTCATTTTTAATTTAGCCCATTTTTCATAGTTATGTTCCTAGTGAAGTTGAAAAAAGACTGCATTATTAGGGAAATCTAATACGACAGTAAGAAAAACTCATTACCTGATTTGACTAAATCCAAGTACATTGATGAACTCTACTAACACTTATTTACAACTGATTGCTAATAAAGATTCTAACAATGATTGGTAACACGATTCATTAAAACTAGCAACATAACCTGCTTAAAGAAACTGGCAAATACTTTATCAGTCAGTCAGTAACAACGTAGAACTTCGTACGTACGTACATCAGTTCGAGTTGCCACACCACATTAGCACAGAGATGCAGTTGTCGACTAAAATCCCGGAGTGGTAGAGGCGGTAAGAGCATAAGCAGTAATCGGAAAGATTAGGGTTTGAAGATTTTATTTAGAGTATAATCCAGTGAGATAAATTTGGAAAAAGAAAAAAAGAGACAAGGAGAATTCAGGAGATTAGAATTTGGGTGAAGACAAAGAGTGGATGCACCTGCGCCATTGCAAATACTTTGTAACGTAGTGAATTCACTGAAGTTAGGAATGTGAGTCTGTTACAGATGTCAACTTCATGATCTAACAGTAACGCATATCATGGAAGCCCCAGTGGTTGTAGATTAGAGGCATGGAGAGGTTATAGGTGTGCACTGTTGAGGAGGCCTATGTCTGCGCGAAGCACCTGTCTGATCCCTATTAGTTTTGATGGTTGTTCAACTAATACCAGTTCATAAGATAAAATATCACTTTAAAAAATGAGTATATACTAATACGTACCATTATTATTTATAGCATTATTTACATCATTTTCAGTCCCCTTCTCAATCTTGTTAGACGAATATAAAGGAGTTATGGAAGCATAAGAAAAACATTCAACGGGATCTTTGGATGTTTGTTGCGGTCCTGCTTTGATAATAGTTACAGGAGTTGAATTTCGAATGGTAGTTGAATTTAACGAACTTCCATTTACTTTGACTGTCGATGGTTGATTATCTATGCTATTACCAACGCTAGTAATCGAATAGCTTAATAAAAAAGAAAAAGGAGGTAAAGAACATTAGGTTTAAAGAATAATTACCCGAGTGCTACACATTAGGGAAGAATGCATTAAACAAAAAACCAAACGAGTGAGAATTGTGATCGGTCGATCACTTATTTAACCACTAAAATAATGGGTTGAATGACTGAACTAATATAAGCAAAATACAAACTGATAAAATGTCTGAACAACAAATATAACATTTGTAATTAAATGGTAAAAATGGGAAGACTTCAAACTGTGATCGAAGTGAATAAGAAATTCTCGTCTGAAATTACGAGGATAACCTTAGTCAATCCAGTTATCACAGAACCTGACAATAATGTGGGTTGATTCGAGATGCCACAACGAGATGAAAATAACAAGACAAATAACAAAAGAGATTCAAATAATTTGGTAGTAATGACAATGAGAAATAATGGATATAGGGAAAATGGTACCAAAAGACGGTTGAAAGGTATGTTTGAAGGAATATTGATATTGAAGATATAGAAAAAGATGAAACATGAATGCATCTGTTTCATTTAATGCAAAATCTTCAGTTACAGATCTCAGTTATCACGCGGATCCCGACCAGGTAGTCTGCACCTAACAACATTGCTATATCCGAGCGAAGATTAAATCACGAGTAACTCCTGAGACATATTAATTGACTGATATTATCTACATATTCTTATGGTATAATTATTCAATAATTAGATTATGTATATTTATATTCCTTGTATTATAAGCTTTATTTTGACCTATAATTTATCATTGTACGATTTACGGTTCTTAAGCTATGTTCAGTTTATTGACTACTGCCTCCCACGTTCATAGCCACTTTTTGGCTTAATTGTGTACAAATGTTATTTTCTATTTTATGATGCGTTGTGGTCTGCTTGTTTGATATATAAACACAGTATGTTTGGAATATATGATTCGCATATTGGAGGCTGGTATTTAGTGTTCTGGACTCAAGTGGACGGCTAGACAGACATAGGACCAAATAAGACGCCGAGCTGCTCATACCGGTGGAACATCATTGGGTTGGCACAGTGCGAAGACTGTATGAGTCGTGTTTTGATTGGTGGATAGATCACGTGATAAAAGCCGGACAAAGTCATAACAAGCATAGCTCAGAGTCATGGTTAATGATTTTATGGACTGGTGTGTTTTGGTTTGGCAGTCCCTAACTTTCTTGAAACATACATCTAAACAACCAAACATTGGCTGTCGAGGCAGGTGGTGGTCATTGATGACTACCTGCATATTCATTAATTCTGTCTACAGAGAATGTCTCAGACAGTGATGCTAAAGTACACGCTACTTCAGAATGCAGATAACAGTATACACTTTTCAGAGAAATATAAGTATTAATGTATATGAACATTAGTATCACGGAACATCATAATGAGTGAATAGAGCACCAAACAAAAATATGAAGAGGAATTCAACTTCAATGCTGCAATCAGCTGTTCTGTTTAGCGATTTATATCCATCATCTTCAAAGAAGACAGTAGGAGAAAAGCTAGAACAAATTAACAATGAAAATTTCTTTGGATATTGTTTCACGAGATTATTTTTTATCTGATGTATCTGGTCCATATTATTTATATTACTAACGCTTTAGTGAGTGTATATCACATTACAATCCACATTCATAACATCATACCATTGTGTTATTTAGTGATCTTAAAAAAGTCTAATAAGGTAGTATAAGTTGTTATAATTTGGTTAAGTGGGAACAAATGAATTTTAAGTAACTACTTACGAAAGTTCCGACTCATCGACCCTTTAAATAATATAACAATGTTAAGAAATAAGTCGTAACATGTTACACTTCCTGATGCCCCCAATTACCCTGGCACGGCCAACAGTGGGGAGAGTTAGCTCTCCCTCTCGAAATACTTTCTTATGGCCACGCGTATACAGCCGCTGCCGAGGAAATCCTACTAACTGCCGTCTCGTGGCGGGGGTGTTGTTTATGAAAGTGAAAGGATGGAAAGCGAATATCCAGCGCTTTGACCGGGTTTGTGGATATGGAGAATCCACCTGGGGGAGTTGGAAAACCTGACTCCAAGCCACTGGTGCACGTGGGCTCCAGTATCCTGAAGGAACAAATGGCGTATGAACCTGTTGTTGGTGACCGGCTACGACGGGACTACGTCTCCTGACGTTGCTCCACTGCCTTGTGAATCAGACCTTTAGGTTGAAGGCTCTGGGTGTGGCATCCTAAGAAAACCACTTGTTTCGATTTGGGCACCCGAAAAGTATCACAGCCCGCACACAATTCAATTGACTTGTGTGAAGCATATGTATTCGGTGCCACTTTGTACAAATACTCGTTTAAACAAATACATAAATAAACACTTTCTGACGATTAGATGCTATAGAGCTCGATAAGAATCCGAATTGTGACAAAAATGTTGCTCCGTTTCCGATTAGAAGTAACTATCTCACCACACACTTTTATTATTTATTATTATTATTTTATTTTAACACATGAATATTGGTACAAGAGAGCCCCAATATATATGCGCCACACAAAACAATGAAAATTCGAAGAGAAATAGAAAAAAAAGAGAACAATAACGAAGAGATTGGTGTAAAACAGTGTGGTAGTAATGAGGGAACGGAAAGGTACAATCAGAAGAAATCTTTCAGGTAAGAGAGACACAACCACTTTTTATGAAGAAAGTAAAAGAAGGTTACAGCAGGATCGCCACTGGCTTCCATTCTGAGCCATATCTGATAACGTCTCTAGCCACTGTGTTGCACCATCTCTCAGACCACACACTTAGTAGATATTCAATAAAATTCGAATGGTAAGAAATATTAGTTCATGTATCACATGTATCTAACTCCGCCTGGAGTCCCCCCGGGGGCTACTGCCGGTCTCAAGCCCGGATAAGAGAGGAAGGTTGGGCGTGGGGTTAGCGACCCCATCCCGTAGAAAACTAACTCGCTAAAAAACGCTAACCAGAAAAAATTATTCAAACCTTTTAAACTCTGGCCTGGGAGTCAGAAGGTCTTCTTTTAGAAGAACTATGACGCCTCATGATGAAAGCCGAATTCCTTCGGAAGTTACGAGGCCGATGCCCCTTCTGACAACCAGAGCGACCATTTATTTAGGTACATGGAATGTTCGTACAATGTGGGACACCGGGAGAGCCTTCCAAATTGCTGCAGAAATGAGAAAATACAACCTAGAGGTACTTGGGATCAGTGAAACACATTGGACGCAAGTTGGACAACAACGACTAACTACAGGAGAGCTCCTGTTATACTCCAGCCATGAAGAAGAAAATGCACCACATACACAAGGAGTTGCATTGATGCTGTCCAAACAAGCGCAAAATGCACTTATAGGATGGGAATCTCATGGACCAAGGATCATCAAAGCCTCCTTCAAAACAAAGAAAGAGGGCATTTCAATGAACATCATCCAATGCTATGCGCCTACCAACGATTACAATGAAGAAGCTAAGGATCAATTCTACAATAGGCTGCAGTCAATCGTCGAGAAGTGCCCAACAAAGGACCTGACCATTCTGATGGAAGACTTCAATGCCAAGGTTGGAACGGACAACACTGGATATGAAGACATCATGGGACGACACGGACTGGGAGAAAGGAACGAAAATGGTGAGAAATTTGAAAACCTATGTGCCTTCAATAAACTGGTCATAGGCGGCACCATATTCCTACACAAACGCATTCACAAAATCACATGGCTTCACCGGATCACTCTACACAAAACCAAATCGACTATATTTGCATCAACAAAACGTTCAGGAGGACCATAGAGGACGTGAGAACCAAGAGAGGAGCTGATATAGCCTCAGATCATCACTTACTGGTTGCCAAGATGAAATTGAAACTCAAGAAGCACTGGACAACGGGGCGGACAATATCACAAACGTTTAATACGACCTTTCTTCAGGATACTAACAAACTCAACAAATTCAAGATAGTCCTCAGCAACAAGTTCCAGGCCTTTCATGATCTACTCAATGGAGAAGGAACTACTGTGGAGAGCAACTGGAAGCGGATCAAAGAGGCAATCACTTCAACATGTCATGAGGTCCTGGGTCACATGAAGCACCATCACAAGGAATGGATCACTGTTGATACACTGGATAAGATTCAAGAAAGAAGGAACAAGAAGGCAGCAATCAATACCAGTCGAACAAGAGCAGAAAAAGCCAAGGCACAAGCTGAATACACAGAATTAAACAAGCAAGTGAAGAGGAGCATCAGAACCGACAAACGTAAATATGTGGAAGATCTAGCAATGACGGCGGAAAAGGCTGCAAGAGAAGGAAACATGAGACAACTGTATGACATAACAAAGAAACTCTCTGGAAATCGCCACAAACCAGAACGATCAGTGAAAAGCAAGGAAGGAGAGGTAATCACCAGCATTGAAGAGCAACGAAACAGGTGGGTAGAACACTTCAAAGAACTCTTGAATAGACCAGCGCCACTGAACCCACCCAATATCGAAGTAGCACTCACGGACCTCCCAATCAATGTTGGCCCACCAACAATTGAAGAAATTAGCATGGCCATCAGACAAATCAAGAGTGGCAAAGCAGCAGGACCGGACAACATTCCAGCAAAGGCACTAAAAGCAGACGTAGCGGCAACTGCAAGGATACTCCACATTCTCTTCAATAAGATTTGGGATGAGGAACAAGTACCAAAAGACTGGAAATAAGGACTCCTGATCAAAATACTGAAGAAAGGCGATCTCAGCAAGTGTGATAACTACAGGGGCATCACTCTTCTCTCAATACCGGGAAAAGTCTTCAACAGGGTATTGTTAAACAGGATGAAGGACTCCGTAGACGCCCAACTTCGTGACCAACAGGCAGGATTACATAAGGATAGATCGTGTACAGACCAAATCGCAACCCTACGGGTCATTGTGGAACAATGATCACTCCACATCAACTTCATTGACTACGAAAAGGCATTTGATAGCGTGGACAGAACAACACTATGGAAACTTCTTTGACACTAAGGCGTGGCTCAGAAGATACTCAATATCATACAGAATTCCTATGATGGATTACACTGCAAAATTGTGCATGGAGGACAGTTGACAAAGTCGTTCGAAGTGAAGACCGGTGTTAGGCAAGCTTGCTTACTCTCACCCTTTCTCTTTCTCCTGAGGATCGACTGGATCATGAAGATGTCAACATCTGAAGGGAAACACGGGATACAATGGACATCTAGGATGCAATTGGACGATCTAGACTTCGCAGACGATCTGGCCCTTCTATCCCAAACGCAACAACAAATGCAGGAGAAGACGAACAGTGTGGCAGCAGCCTCAGAAGCAGTAGGTCTCAATATACACAAAGGGAAAAGCAAGATTCTCCGATACAACACAGAATGCAACAATCCAACCACAATTGACGGAGAACATTTGGAAGATGTAAAAACCTTCACATATCTGGGCAGCATCATTGGTGGACACAGTGGATCTGATACAGATGTGAAGGCGCGGATCGGTAAAACAAGAGCATTATATTTACAACCGAAGAACATCTGAGACTCAAAACAACTGTCAACCAACACAAAAGTCAGAATTTTCAATACGAATGTCAAGACAGTTCCACTGTATGGGGCAAAAACTTGGAGAACTACGAAAGCAATCATCCGGAAAATACAGGTGTTTATTAACAGTTGTCTAAGCAAAATACTTCAGATCCGTTGGCCGGACACTATTAGCAACAACGTACTGTGGGAGAGAACAAACCAGATCCCAGCGGAGGAAGAAATCAGGAAGAAGCGCTGGAAGTGGATAGGACACACATGGAGTCCTGAAGGTCAAAGGAAAAGAGGAAGACCAAAGAACACATTACGCCGGGAAATGGAAATAGACATGAGAAAAATGAACAAGAATTGGGTGGAATTAGAAAAGAAGGCCCAGGACAGAGTGGGTTGGAGAATCCTGGTCGGCGGCCAATGCTCCATCGGGAGTAACAGGCGTAAGTAAGTAATCACATTTATCTAGCATGAAAACTATCCAGAACAAATAGGAATTTCAAAAGAAAGAAGTTGGTAGTAAATCCTGTTGTACTAACAACCTTTATTGATGATAAATTAGTTTGCCAAACATTAAATTACATTTAACAATTGTTTCCATATTTAAAAACGTTCGGGGCACACATGAATATAAAAACATTTGAACCGATAAAACAGGGAATGGTTAGGTATACACATTGATTTTATGATCTACAATAAAAATTTTACATATATGTTAAACGCAAATATGGTTGGTGTGAAATATACAAACAATTTAATTGAAAACATACTTGGAAATGTCCACCGGTTCTGCAACGCTATTACAAGATGCATTTTCGGTAGCGATTTTTGGAGAAATCGGTTTTAGTTTCACCTTTAAAAGGCATAATGAATGAGAGTTTGAGTCACAAAGGTAACGAAAGCAATGGCTAATTTAAGCGTCAATCCTTATTGGTGTAGTAATACTTATAAATGATATCCATAAAACAATATAATTTTGACAAATGCAATTCGCTAGCGTTGTATGAAACTAAAAACAATTAGTCCCTTGTATAAAGTTGAATGAGGTGATGAAAAGAGATTCTTTAGAAATATGTTAGCGCAATACATATTGAATCATCTGATCACACACACTTTTTAAAGCGTATATGAACATAAAAGGTCAACTATAAAAACTGAAAAGTAAGGGGAAGCAAGGACAATAAGGGACAATGTGAAACACACCGCAATGGACAATAAATCAATCTTACTATGCGTTCAAGGTGAGAGTAAACTTCTTTTTATCAAATAAAGGTTTGGATTTTCATATAATTAAGTGCCCCAAACAGTCGCATATAACCCAGAACACCTATGCAACATAAAAAATGTTAATGTTTATCAACCCTACAACTCGTCCCCATTAAATATTTCGTAATGGTGGAAGTTGTTTGCTTATCCTGTGCTCTAAAATGATCATTGGAATTAATTTGTTTTTGTAGCCCTTATATGAGACATTAAAAACCCGTAAACCACAGATATTTTTGCGGAAAGTATTACTGAAGAAGATTCATAATAGTCCCATTTGTAATCGTCATTAAGACACGATTCGAGCACAACCCACCGCAGCATCTCAACCAAGTCATTTAGACCGGACTAGGCTGTAGGCAGTATCACAGCCCACACACAAATAGAATGAAATTTGTGTGGCGCATATATATTCGGTGCCCCCTTGTACCAATGTTTATGTGTTTAAATAAAAATAAAATAAATAATAGAACATTTGTAATTATGTTTTGACAAAAGCAACTTCTCAAATATTGGCTTATGGCGACAACGTTCTTAACAGGAAACTAGAAGGTAATTTCACACCAGTCAAACTGCACAATATGAAAAAGAACTGATTTAGGCTGTACATATGCTTTACTTTTAAATTATGATTGGACATACGGACTGAGGTTAGATTAAATTTACACTAGCAGCCCAGGTATTTTTCATTTAAATCTGTAAGTGATCTACGAAGATTAAAATCACTTGATATTTTGGTTAGAACGTTATCAATATTTATTGTCAATAAGCAGGTAAAAACATATTGTTTGTTAAAAAACAAACGATATGGCATTCTTACCTCTTCAAGAACGGCAGGTTTCGACAGAGATATATGACGAGGCTTAGGAGGTCTTGTGGGTGGAGATTTAAGAGGAGAAAGTGATTCCGGTATAGAGAAACCTCCATCAACTGATCTGGATGACGTAACACTGTCAAAGGAAAGGTAGATCAACACAATTCAACAGTAATTTATGGTAAAGTTATTTGAGACTTGTGAATATTGTGACAATAATTTGTAAAAATGATCAGAAAAATCTGTTCTACTGGTAAATAAAGGAAGTATCCAAAGGATATTACGGCACTCGACTTCGAAAGAAAAACTGGATAATGGCAAGTGAATTTATTTACTTACTTAAAAACATCGTTACAATGAAGCACAAAATATACATGCACCATACATTATCATTCGGTTTGTGTAAGGGTTGGGATACTTCCAAGGCGCCCAAACCGAAACAAGTGGTTTTCTTAGGATGCCACACCCAGAGCCTTCAACCTAAAGGTCTGATTCACAAGGCAGTGGAGCAACGTCAGGAGACGTAGTCCCGTCGTAGCCGGTCACCAACAACAGGTTCATACGCCATTTGTTCCTTCAGGATACTGGAGCCCACGTGCACCAGTGGCTTGGAGTCAGGTTTTTCCAACTCCCCCAGGTGGATTCTCCATATCCACAAACCCGGTCAAAGCGCTGGATATTCGCTTTCCATCCTTTCACTTTCATAAACAACACCCCCGCCACGAGACGGCAGTTAGTAGGATTTCCTCGGCAGCGGCTGTATACGCGTGGCCATAAGAAAGCATTTCGAGAGGGAGAGCTAACTCTCCCCACTGTTGGCCGTGCCAGGGTAATTGGTGGGGGCAGATCATAATTAATAATCCAAGAAAACATTAAATTAAGATGGTTACCGTTTTCTGATGGAATTTCAAATGTGCACTAAGATGCTTAAAATATTAAGGAATCAAGCACTCGTTTACTAGAAGAAACTTGTGCCAAAATTCCAGACAATTTCCAATTGTTAACTGTTTTTTTGGGTTGACTGAAAAAATAAATTATGACATTCGTTTATTACAACAAAAAAATTGATCGATAACTACTGAGGTGATTAAATTGGCTACCTCCTCACGGAAGATATTTTCGTATCTCGAACAAATTGATTTCAGAGGACAGAATCACTGATCAACTAATGGATATACTATAGGACTAAAGCTGTCATTGATACACAAATAATATAGCTAAAATATTGAAATGGTCAATACATAACCAACAACGCCACTATTTAGATACCATATCTAACAACCTATGATAAACCAAAAACCCCATAAACATTATGGATAAATACACTCATTCGTTAAACTCGTGAGATGGAAAGAGGTTGAAGAACTTACTTATGTTGAGTCGATTCATTCTTGTTTAGACTTATTCGATGATTGCGCAGAGTTTTCATAGGTGGGGACCCCGGAAAGGCTCTGAGTAAACAAATATGACAAGAAAATCAATATTAAGCCAGATAATTTCTTACTTTATAGGATATTCACTGAAGACTAAGTGAAGAAACCATATACCTCATACATCAAGCGGGTAAAATGAAGTCAGGAGAGTGAATTTACATCATTGAAATTATTTATGAAGCGTGTATAAACTTTTTAACCGTCACCACTAAATTAAATTGAGTGAGAGACTAAGAATTCCAATACAGATAAGGCTAAAGAGTAGTATAGTGTCCCCTCTCTGTTGGTTAACAGCTTTTGATCTTCACGTTTAGTCTTTTAGGACTCATTATAGGGTGAATTTTAACTGAGTAGTTTAACGCTACTCCTATAACTTGTATAACAGTGAAAGTTTGGGAAAATATTGCAGTTCTTAGATAAGTTAGAACAGTACATCCACAGTATACACCACACTACTGAAGTATAATACAATAGTGGGCGTTGATATCAGATTAATATTAGACAATAAAGTCAAACAGACTGTCCTTAAATGAGCGCATTGTGTTCACAATAGTGGAGAAGGAAATTTGCGTACTAATACGTCTTTTTACTGCTTCACTCAGTGAATGGAAACCTACACATAATCCACCTAATTATTTAGTTTCATATGACCCGCACAAACAAGCCAAGATCCACGAGCGAATAATTAGTAGCTAGCCTACCGCTCATACTGACAAGTGATACAATGAACCGTATCAAAAGCTTTTAGGACAAAATGTCCAACAATTCATCTCACAAGAATATTCATCAAATAGTCTGAAAAACCATAAAACCAACCTTGAAAACCTTTCAAAATCAGGACAGGTGTATGCTGAAAACACTGAACTTTCTACATCAAATCCATCTTCAGTATCGTCAATTGGCTTTACAACACCAGTTTGGAACATATCCCTCAAGCGCGAAACTCTTGAAAGTCTGCGAGGACACATATCTACTTTCGATACTGTTTCTTCGTTCCCATTTGCAGCATGCAAAGTGTCGCTCAGCACAGACATATCTAGTTTAGTAACTAAATGGACGCTGTCAATACAAGGATATCATCTCACTACAGAGAACTCGAAAACCCGCCAAGAGGCTATTGTTGGATAAGCGACCTTGCTTAGATTAAGCTTCAATTAACAATCTGTCTACATGAAACATATTTGCATGATATTGAGGTAAGTACATATACATAGAACAGCTTCCGTTTTTATGAAAGAATCAAGTGTGGAAAGTCAGCTGTAATTTGTCAGTCAACTAATGTTTGTCATTCTGTAAGTTGTCAAACGATCAAGAAATACGGCAATCAATCTCTCAAACCTATGAACGAGTCTCAGGTCAGTCATTCTGACAGTCGGCCAAACAGAAAACAAACGAATAAATTTAGTCAATCAAAAGTTACTGTGATAAAATTAAGTCCTTACTCCAAAAAGTTAGACCAAATAAATTACAGTAAATGTATGCTTCCTCCTCAAGATACCGACTCTCATTTCCGAATACACACCTACGGTTCGATACAAACACTTCACGCGTTGTCTGAAAATATTAGCAGGTCTGGTTGATGTGGCAAGTCCTCTAACAACTAATCTCATATCAATGTGAAGTCGAATATTAGGTTCACAACTTACTCCGATTAGAAGTAAGTTGGTTCGTCGCTCTTAGTGTAACTTGCTAAAAAGCAAGTAGAAAAAACTTCCGTCTAACGAACTTCCGTTTTTAGTAGTTATGGATAGCCAATTTCTTCACTAAAGTATTTCGAAATATGAGACTAGCGGAAAAGAAATACAAATAGATTGAAGTGAAATAAACCCGGTTCCTTAAGAGTGCACCAAGTGTCCACTTGAAAGACGCTTTGAAAGTTACCTTCACCACGTCGTTCGTCGGCAAATCTTAAAACCTGTCTACTTGTGACTAGTAGGTGTTCCCAGTTTGGAGTGTTGTGTTTCTAATTTTAGGAACTCCTAGTAACATCTTCGTCCCTTACTAATGATGAATTATTACCTTGTAGTGACTCACATTTATCACGAGAACACGACTGGTTTAATAAAAACAATTATTATTATGACCAACTGTACCAGTGCTTGTTTTAATGTGCTTTTGTTTGACTGTGCTAATCACAGCTATATTGTGCTTCCATTCTTATTCTTACACTTTGATTGTAACTTAGCGCGAATTCGGTTACGTTCTGTAACCAAGCTTGTATCCTGGCACGATCTCGGTATCCTTTCGATACCACTAGATCGCCAGCAAATATATCTCGACTTGGTCCATCAACTGCCTTCTGATATTTGGCTTCTCAGGGATTTTATGGATTTATTTGGTTACGTTCAACCCTCGCCTTCTGATTTATTTGGTACGTGTTTATTGGTAGCGGTGTTCATAGTTAACCCCGACTCGACGCCACGCTACAACCTTATAGTAACAGCGTACGACAGACTCGGTAGGTCGGATCATAGATGGGTATGTGTCACGTTCACCACGAATGCTGAGGTTTTGCTGAACAATATCGTTCTCTTGAAAGGTATGCGGAATAAGTTGTCGGCGAACTTAAAAAAACGGTTATAAAAACAGAGATGTGCTGTGAAAAAAAGAGGGATCTCGACAAAACTATTATTGATGGAGCAACTAATAATTTTAGTGAGAACATTCTTGAACTCAGTACCATCTCAACGTCGATGGTACTAGATTCTCTCAGCAGGCTTGGGTCTACCAGCACAGAATAATGAATGCAACGGCAGTTCCCAAAATCTCTGTAGGTGACTGGATCCCGTTAACAAAGTTAAAAAGGACCGGGGTCACCGTGATAAAGTCAACTGGTAGTTTGGCCGCACAATCTAACCCCGAGATTGTCCAACCGGTCAGCAAACAACATGGGAATCGAAACGCCCTCTGACATCCAAACGACAAAGTCCTCAACCTGAACGTACTGGAAGATCTGGGAAAGCGATTATGGTTTGCGATGATTCTCTCGTAACTATGAACCCTAAAGAACTTCCCCTCAGTTTGCAGGACAAACATTATAGGATGTTATGGGAAGAGTTAAACAAGAAGCTCAAACTTCCCGAAATAGAGCCTTCGTAGGTCACACGGCTTGCTCAGGGAAAGGACTCTAAGCATCAAAATCACCCTAGACTACTTCGTGTAGGACATACTAACGCCACAGACGTAGAGAATATCCAACTGGCTGGCCACTTACTGAAATCAGATGAGAACGTATGAATACTGCCTGATATACCGTATTCTGAGCGCAATCTCATCCGGAACATCTCTAAGGAGTCTGACGAGGAGTTTTACCGCGGAAGAAATATCGTTGCGTAAGGTGTACCGGAAAACACAGACCCTGGACAAACACACTCTGATATTAGCAAATGGAAATTCATCAAGCAATCCTCAAGGCTCAAAAACATACTGACTCAACATGTGACGAGACTAGCCAAGAAGGACTGAGATTCTAGACCCCGGCTAATGAAGACAATCTCCCCATCCTCCCATACGGCAACTGCAACACTGAAAGCACTTCGTACATACAGACGCCGGTTGCCAGCTGGAATCCATATAAATCCGGATAAGCAACATGGCGCCATGATCAGGTACGAAGGCAGTTGGGGCTGGTCATTCCACATGTGGACTGTCTAGATAATAAAAAAATGGGAAGGACAGAGACCGCCAACTAGAGAAACCTTGTATGGACAGGCTACCTATCCATTCACATAAGGCTCATACAGACAAACAGGACGAGGAAGCTCACGCATTTCAAAATAAAACCATAAAATACTTATGCATGAACGCCGCGAGTTTACTTAATAAAATGGATCAGTTACGTGAACTCAGCAGTGCTGGTAATGCTCATCTGACAGGAATGTCTGAAATTTAGATATCTCAGTTTACCTACCAGTGGCTAGCAATACCCGGGATGTCTTGGTTTAACAGTGATAGGTAAACGGGAACTCGTAGTGTAGTAGCCTCATACTTACGATATTGCCCGGAGGTACATCAAGTGCACAACTAAGAGATTATCAGTCTTATTGAATCCGTGAAGTGCCACTCAGAGGTGTCTTGTTGTCATCTACAGGACGACCACTGTTGATAACGAGTACAACAATTGTATACTGGAAGGATTATCCTGCTCTACTCGTCTTGGATTCACTCCAATCCTGATTTCCGGGGACTTCAATCTTACATAAGTCAATCTCGCGAAACATACGTATATTGATGGTGAAAACGCTGCTGAAGCTCGGTTCTTCAAACTCGTTGAAAATCTGTAATTATTCGAAAATATGAAGTGAGCAATTTGTTAAAGAAACAGTCAGATGCCGTTGCGCTGTGACTGCGTATTTACAAACGAAGAATTTCTAACTGACATCTCTCAACCCTCGCTTCCATGGAGGGAAGTGATCACGCCATCATAGCTTTCATATTTATCAGAAAAACTAAGCTAATACATCTCCTTAACAACAGACACCGAGATTTCAAACGGTTGGATGTATCAGTTTCACAGGACAATTTACAGCAGGTGAACTGGGAAGTTCCCTCTCATTTTGATGTGGATGCTCATTATAATTTCTTACCACACACGATTTTCTGTGCTACAAAGCATTTTGTTCAGCAAACAGTCCTCAAAATCTACAAGCAACATGCAGTCATCCCGAATCGCACTCTTGGATTGCTAAGCCGCAAAAGTTACTGTTGGGCAGAATACAAACGATTTAACAACTGCGCATGCATGCAATACAAAGAAATAATGAACATATGTACGAAGGCAACAAGAGTAGTTAGGCCTCAGTATCAGATAATGCTTATCGATGAATTTTTTCCAATCCAAAAACCTTATTATGTTATGCAGTCTCTTTTCGACAAGCCAAAACTTCAGTCTCCCAACTGTAAGATCCTAATGGCCCGAACGATAACGACGGTAACGCCGCTAATATTCTAGATGAACAGTACTCTCGGACATTTCGACCGACCCAAGCTAGCTATATTGATGAAAGCTTCATCTGCAACTGCACTGGACTTTCCGAAGTGAACCTTAGAGCCGACTTGGCGTTCGGGAAACTGCAGAACTTAAAAAAGAGACTTCATGTCCTGAAATGGTTCATTCTGATATACTGAGGGAAGCAACTTCAATCCTGGTAACGTTGTTTGGTGTAATGTTCTCCTCCTCAACTTTAAGAGTTGTCAAATGCTGGAATTCGCTGTCGGCTAGGCTAGTCCAAGCGATTTCCCAGGAGTCCTTTAAGAGGAACTTTGACTTATTCTTATGGACCAAGGATAATATCTTACTATGATTTACCTATATCTTTTTTCCTCTACTATCGTTAATATACCTAGGTTCTTGCCTGGAGGCATTATTGATCCACTGCTATTAGACAAGAAAGCCCGTTAAGCGAAAGCTTCTTCTATTCCGTCCACAACCATATAGACAATTTGAACCATTTCATAATTACCACTCAAAACATTGTTACGTAATGTATCGTCTCCTCAGTTTTCGGTAGAATAAAACCTGGATTATACAACCTTGCGCCCTTAAGCTTTTTTATACTACAAAGAGACAGACTACAAGAAATAAAGTGGTTGTATATCTGCCTAAAAATGTTTGAAGTTTGAATACTGAAGTCATAACTACGCTGTCGTGGGCGTGTTCAAATACCTCCCAACAAATACCATATGGCGACCTACTAATCGTTTTTACTCACTCAAAGTGGAAATAACTCATAAGAATGCATTTGTCTGGTTTTTTATTGTAACATGGCTTTACGTAGATTTATATAAGATAATTGACTTACAATTGTCAAAATCTTAATTCAAATATTTATTCATCTGTTTGACCAAGTTATTCAAAATCTCTCACACAATATACTACTATTTCTAACAGTTAAGCAGATATCGAGAGTGAAAGGCTGAAAATAGCTTACCTAACATTTCCGGAATGGATTTCAAGAATCTCAATATCCTTATTTTGGCGGACACTTTGTCTGTTTCATGGTGATGGAAAAATAGCCCTGAAACTTCCTTAGGTCGATGAAAATTTCCAAAACTGCCAACTGTCGTTGGGATCTGGGTAAAACCCCAAAATTCTACCAAAATCGGGAGATTGGGATACTGATGTCTTTGTGACAAGCTTGTAAATACTACCTGTTTTCCTTGTTCTCTCATCTTAATGTTAAGTAGCTCTTTTTTGAAAAATGATTTTTCGTTGTTAACGTGTCAGCGATTGGATTTCGCTGGAACTCTTTTTTTATAATATCAAGTCCAAGGACCTGGTTACTTGTCTTCAGTTTAGTGACAAGGCTAGACATTTTGATTTTAAAGTCAAAGGTACATTTTTCACACTCTTTATCTTTCAGTCAGAATTCGCTTAAATCTGTAAAGTTCTGAAGTCATCTTGTGTATCTTGCTCTTTAAAATAGATTTTTCTAACCAGCAATCTATTGACCTAGATTAATTTTTGAGATCAACCTTCACGATCTATTTAATAAAACAAGGGATACATCTAGTTGTGCTTTTTAGAAGTGAAAGAATAAGATAAGGTGAAAAATTTGCCTAGATAAAGTCTCCCGAAAATCAAAATGTGCTAAAATTACTACATTTTGACACCTGTTATAGAATATAATAACTTATTGATACTGAAGAATATAATCTATGTTATTTGAAACTCAGTGGTTGATATTGCTAACAATGTGTGTAATACCTAACATTTTTTTCGATTTGAAAATCAATGGAATTGCATGCTACGTTGAGTGAAATCTGTTGTCGGTACACCTGGTAACCACCTATGGGAAATATATTTATATACAAAACTGTGCTTTTGAACGCTTTTTTGATGTTTTAAAACCGCGATCATTATATATATATATATATATATATACATATATATATGCATTAAAACTGTACTGCTTAGATTTATCTCACGTTTTTAAATGTGCAGATATATGGATAAACCATATGACGAAACAGTTGATGTGCCAGATTCAGAAGATATAGCAACACCACGACTGCAACAGTCTCTTGCTGAAAATTTTGATAGGTTTCGAGGTAATTTTTGACTTTTTATGGACGTATTTTGTTTTGAGATAAATTGCCTGATGTTACTTGGCTTGTCCAGCAAATACATGAACTGGGTTGGTAAGATTTTGGCAGAACGTAAAACAACTTGAAGGAAAACGATGGAAAGTTGAGTAATGTCGAGAGATATATCTAGCTGAAAAATAACTCTTTGCGAGTTAATCAGGAGCCTAATTGAAGACTGTGCAGGCTTCTTGAATAATGCGACCATAGAACAACCGTTACGCCAACGTTTTGACTGGAGTATTAAGAACATTAGACCATTTTTGCTTATCGACTACCAGTTACCTGTCAATATGATTAGTGATGAAACGAATTTGGGGAAAGGATTTGAAGGAACAAGACAGCTAGAACCCCTAACTTCTTGCTGCTCTCGAGGATGTTTTGAACAATGAAACTGGAGATAAGGCAGGCGTGATAACACGAATCGGCAGTATTTTGATAAGGATAAGACCTGTCAATTTCCGCCTTTATAAAATATATTTTCTGTGGTCATATCTTGTTTGCTAACCAAATACAGTCTTAAATGCACTCAGTTTAATCTCAGGAAAGTTCCAATATATAGAAAGTAGGGTGAAATAATCATCAATCAATTCTTAGGTTCTGTTTTATTGTTTGTTGACTCAGGACCAGGAAGAATTTTTTAAATCTTTTTATATGAAAATATACTTACAGTATGTTTAGATTATAAAATAATATATCTATAGAACCATACACTTTAAACGATAAATACTGAGAACATCTTGTTTTCGTCCTTATACAAGGCTATTTCAGAGTTAAAAATTATTCCTTGTTTAAAAAAATTATATTGGACTTACCATGAAAGGTTTATGAGGTAAATAATTAGGATGATCTCAGAAATATAAAACGTCTTAGGATTTCAAAGCCTAAGAAACTTGTTAAAGAAAGTATTCTTCAGCAGTAGCAAAAGTAAGGGATCATAGTTTGAATATTGAAAAAATAGTTTCAGTTCAAAACTGCCAAAAATTAATAGCAGTGTAATAAGTTTCGCATGTCGACTTTGAGAAATACCACCATTTTTAAGAGGTACTTTGACGAACATAGAGAATGAAAGATAACGTCCTATTTTACGACTTTCATTTAAGTGAAACAATATCGTGTTACATGTTCAAGCGAAAATCGACTGTTAATTAAAATCACGATATATATATATATGAAAAACAGTATATCTACTCTTTTGCTTCCTGTTTACTTAGTATTGATATTTGAAAGAATATTTATGATGAATAATGAGTTTGATAAATTGGATTCCGACTCAATGTCTAAATGAGAATATATAAGCCATGCATTCTAGAAGCTTCGTAAGGGTTTCTTTACATAGATTATTGTTATTATTACATACTAGGAGAGAACGTCTCTGAAGAATTCAGTCTCACAAAATTTGATTTTTATGATACGTTTTGACAACACTTATTCTCTGGTGAATTAAATTGTGATATTTTAGCCTTTATGAAGTAAACGATCATATTTGTTATATAACGAGAATGCTAGAAGACCGTTAAAAACTAAGGTAGACTGAATGACTATTTCGTTCTTGCGTGAAATTCCTGAGAAAAGGACACCTACATCGTGGGTCCTGGATTCAACCTCATGTGGAATCAGTTTATCAAGTCACTGACTATTGAAGTAAGCCATGTTGGTAGACCCAGACCATCGTAACTAGGAGTCGGGGATAACAACTGACATGATTTAAAACTGGTGACAAAGGTACAAATGAATAAGGTTTTTGTCTTTCCCTAGGTCACGAGTTCTAAAAATATTTTGTCCGTTATATTCTGGAGTTTCCTTAAACATATCTTCCACGCCTAATAACGCTACTGCTATTTATACCACTTTGGCATTCATTTTGATAATTTTGACTCGTGGTGATACAGTGTAGCGGCGTGAATTGATGGACGTTTGTGCTAGGTCCCACTTTGCTTGTGATTGACTGACTGATATTTTGGACATATATTCTTGGGATGTTTAAATTTAGGTTGAGCCTGCCGTCCAACTCCCTATGGTCACCATCTGTTCTTGAACAACGGTTTGATGTGAAAATCATCTTCCTGTTATGATGAATTCTCACAAATTCTCCTAAAAATGTTGATATTATTTACCTTATGAAATGAAATACTGAACACAACGTTGATATTGATGGTGAAGCTATACCATGCTAACAACCATGGGTGACGTTGAAAGTGACCTAGGGAACTTTATGCTCCGTTATTGCCGTAATAATAAAAAGAATCTGTAGCTAATATATGATAGAATCTGGATATATATTGTAGCTTACAATCGTTTTTCTGAATCTTTAAGATCAGTTTTGCTGAGACATTCAAGCGTTCAAGAAATTAATATATCTTTAAATACTTCTTCAGATCATAAGTAGTCTCTTATATATTTTCTCACATTTTCCTTAGTAATTGTGGACGGAATTCCGGAAAAGTTAACGAAATGACACCATGAAACAAAATCACACAGTGACTTTGTAAAATATGAAAATCATGAATTAAATACATCATTCACATATCTTCTTTCAGTTGTCCTTCATACACTTCATCATTCTCCCTATCCTGTTGTTATTTTGATTGCTTTTCGTTTTCCTTCCTATTCTCTTATTTTCCATATATCCATCATATGGAGTATAAGATAAACACAATTTTCATTTTACACTATATCGTAGTAGAATAAACTCTCCTCAGTTCTAAACGTTTTAAGCACTTCATAATTGACACCTTTAATCACTACAATCTATTCTCTTAATTTGTTGTTTGTTTTTCTTGCTCTTTTTATCTAGTTGATCATTTAGATTCTCATAGAGATAACAGTAAATCATTAAGAAAAATAAAGAATGAATTACTAAATAAATCAATTAAAGTAAGCCATGCCACTTTCCTTTTTTATCTATTCTTTCACTTTAATTTGATTAAAAGATGTATTTTTTAAGTAGACATTAATTGCTTTACATTATTATTCTACGAGTAAAGACATGTTTAACATTGTTTAATCATATTTGTTTATAGACTATAATTGTTCTGTAGAGATTTCTTGTAGTCTATAGTCAATTTTCACCTACTCAGCCGAAAAATTGGTAAAACAGAGGAATATCGTACAATCGTTTCATGGATTGAGTAGTAATTAGCCTAGAGACAAACTTTCATCAAGATCTAATAATAAAATATGACCTGTCGTAAGGAATTAAATCAGGAATAAAATAATATTCCATAAATATCTTTAGGTGAGAGTTACTTCTTGTTACAAATTGACTGGAATTAAAATTATAGGATACCGAAAAGGTCAGTAACTCAAATATATGATACCAGTTGCGTTTATTTCTCTAGGCTGAATAGTTTAACCATTTTTGTTCTGTATAGCACCATTAGAGCCTAAGTCCAACTCAACTGTCTATTGGCGTAACGTGTACAACGACACTTAGTGGCTCATGGTTCTACATTGTAGAGGATCATGAGCACATAATGCCTAAAAGTTCAGAACTAGAGCAAAACACCTATTAATTACTACTACATTTTTGAAGGTTCTGCGTCTGATATTATTCTGTGATCTGAACTAATTTCAAATCATTCTTGTTAGTACTAAAGTCTAATATTTTATTTCGCTTTCTTTTTCTAACCTTATTAGACTGCACCAAAATCAATCATTGAACAGAAGTCTAACAATGAAAAACTAAATAGTCAAGGTTGGTTTATTTTTCATATATCACTGATTTTTTTTATTAATTGAAATAATGAATAAAGATGGAGCAAATGTAATGTTAACTAACGAATAATGAACTAATAATAATTAAAATATAATATTGTTATTTTGACAATTCAACCAAGGAATTTAAGAATCTTATTTGCTTCACTAAGTTTTATTACTGTTTTATCATCATAAAGGAATGAAAGTATAAAATCTGTGTCATTATTTTCACATATAAAGTACTCTGATTGTTCATATGACAGATATATAAATAAAATAGATTTAGATATGAATATTAATTGGTTGAGGATTCCTTAAGGGTCGATCGTGTACAGACCGAATCGCAACACTACGAATTATTGTGGAACAATCAATTGAAGGGAATTCATCACTCTATATCAACTTCATTGACTATGAGAAAGCATTTTACAGCGTGAACAAGACTGCACTATGGGAGCTTCTTTGACACTACGGCGTACGTGAGAAGATGGTCAATATCATACAGAATTCCTATGATGGATTACACTGCAAAATTGTGCATGGAGGACAGTTGACAAAGTCGTTCGAAGTGAAGACCGGTGTTAGGCAAGCTTGCTTACTCTCACCCTTTCTCTTTCTCCTGGGGATCGACTGGATCATGAAGATGTCAACATCTGAAGGGAAACACGGGATACAATGGACATCTAGGATGCAATTGGACGATCTAGACTTCGCAGACGATCTGGCCCTTCTATCCCAAACGCAACAACAAATGCAGGAGAAGACGAACAGTGTGGCAGCAGCCTCAGAAGCAGTAGGTCTCAATATACACAAAGGGAAAAGCAAGATTCTCCGATACAACACAGAATGCAACAATCCAATCACAATTGACGGAGAACATTTGGAAGATGTAAAAACCTTTACGTATTTGGGCAGCATCATTGATGAACAGGGTGGATCTGATGCAGATGTGAAGGAGCGGGTCGGCAAAGCAAGAGCAGCATATTTGCAACTGAGGAACATCTGAAAGCCAAAACAACTGTCAACCAACACAAAAGTCGGAATTTTCAATACGAATGTCAAGACAGTTCTACTGTATGGGGAAAAAACGTGGAGAACCACTAAAGCCATCATCCAGAAGATTCAAGTGTTTATTGACAGTTGTCTACGCAAAATACTTCGGATGCGTTGGCCAGACTTTACCAGCAACAGCATACTATGGGAGAGAACAAATCAGATCCCAGCGGAGGAAGAAATCTGGAAGAAACCCTGGAAATGAATAGGACACACATTGAGGAAAGCCCTCACATGGAATCCTCAAGGCCAAAAGAAAAGAGGAAGATCAAAGAACACATTACTCTGGGAAATGGAGATAGACACGAGAAAAAATGAACAAGAATTGGATAGAACTGGGAAGGAAGACCCATGACAGAGTGGGTTGGAGAATGCTGATCGGCGGCCTATGCTCTATTGGGAGTAACATGCGTAAGTAAGTAATTGGTTAAATAATCATTAGATTATTTATATCTTCCAGTTTTGTTGATAATAAATTGCTTGTAGAACATACAAAGATGATAGCTAGTTAGTTAAATGCTCAATTTTTCATAGTTTGGTTTTCATTTGAATTAAGTCATTTTTGTAGGTAACATGTAAAATAAAATATGCATTTTTAATCTTTACAACAACTTCATATTATTCTTAGTAAAGTTAATGCAAGATGAACAGCTAAGTCATTCATTGATTAACAAGTATGGGTAAATTTTCGTGGTAAACTTAAATTTATAAAATAAATTGTAATCCAATTACTAAAATAAACACTTTTCATCGTAGTTTTAATTTTATTTTTATTGTTTTTAGATAGTTCCGGCGATGACGATGATGAGGATGAGGATGATGATGATGATGACGATGATGATGAAGACGATGAAGATGACGATGATGAAAATTCTAATATCCCTGATGTCATTGAAGGGTATGTCAAATTTATAAAACAGAGGACATTCTATATAGGGATTTATTTATTCTATGTAAGTATCGATAGTCTGTAGGTTTCCTTTGTATACTGAAATATTAATAAACTTTTGAAAAGCGACAAAGAAATTAAATCAAAGTGCAATATTATACTATAAAAACAACTGATTATTAGTTTCCCTTCGCTAAATATCACTTTAAATAGGAAACAAAGTAGATGGTTGAAGATTTAAATTTGAATAACTGAAAACTGATTATAACTGAAAGATGACTTAGTGGTTAAGGCCTTCGGTTTAAAACCATTAAGTTGATAGTTTAAATCATACTCCACCTACTTCGGTTTAAACACCTAGGTAGTATCACTAACCTTCACACGACGAGTGATTCAAAGCCAAGTGCACGAATCTATATTTGGTAAGTTGCATTGTCATCAACCTCATTGAATGTGACACTTGATATTAGTATTCATATATTTTACTGTTATTTTCTGTTTTTATAAAATGTCGGGAACGTTGGATTCATACACTATCACACAAAGTTCTATGTACTTACACTCGTCTACTCATTCGCTAACTGAATATGTCAACCAACTAGTCAGTTTATTAGTCAACCATCCAACCTGTGCTGGATGAAATATGACAACTGAAAAAAATCTTCTTTGTTTTAAAAACAAACTGAGATTATCATCCTTTATTAGAATGAAATGCTAACGAACACTTGGCAAATTTCAATGGTAAAACTATGCCAAAAAATGGGATCCAGGGTGTCCGTTTCGTCCAACGTGGGACTTGTCGGCTGGTGCATTTGGATCCTGATATTAATGTTCTCATTGGGACTTGATACTAGGACCTTTCTTTTTCAACTCCAACATCTCATCAACTGAGCTACTGAGTTCAAATAATAAAATATGTTTCATTCTTTTAAACATGATATTTAACCAAAATGTGACTTCATAATATTGGGCAATATCAAAATAAACGGAATTTCAAACGACAAATTCAACTTCATTCTAGAACTTTTGTAGTTATTTGCATAAAAGAGCGAAAAAACCCATGTATTACTACTTACTAAACAGTTATGAGTATATGCTAGCAATAACTGAAGTTGACAAGAATTTTTTCCTGACCAAATATTTTCATCGTTCTTTTTAGTGTCTACAATCCGGCCGATTATGAACATTTGACTGTATCGTCTGAAATTAAGGAAATTTTTGAATATATTCAAAGGTAACTTCGTACACATAAATATATAAATAAATATTCGGCGAGACTATAATTTATGGACGAACCAATCACGCATAAGATATAAGGTCTCCGATTTTGGCGCGAGATTCACTCATCAATTTGGATAGAGTTTTGGCATTATAGCTGATATCAGTTCGTGATGAAAACGCCAAATCTAATTCCTAAGCTTAATCATCAACTGTAAATTGTAATTCTAATTCCTCACACAGGTCCATAACCCTAATTTCGTCCTGGTTAATAAGTGGACACTCTCAAGTTCAGTCTACCGTCGCTCAAAGGTCGTCCATAAATTATAGTCTCACCAAATATTCCTTTATAAAACAAATTATATTAATCTAAATGTATATTTTATTTTATTTCAATCTTCTTAATAATGAAATTTTTTTGTTATATCTCAATGAGGAGAAAAATTGTATGTACTCTGAAGAATTGACTTACATTAAGTCACGAAACGTCAGAAATAAAATTTTTCTACTCAATAGGATAAAAAACAATTTAAATTATCTGAAATTATCAAGTTCAACCTTAGTATTACGGACTACAGCTGATCAGTCTCCATTGACATGTAATCATTCTGAGCGGATTCCCTAGATAATGTTATTTAGTCACATGTTCAGTAACGGTATACAGTGGGATCCACAGTGTGCCGGGAATGTTGTTTACGATATTGAAAGTTAAAAAAGCGAATACCCTGCGCTTTAACCGGGTTGGTGGACACGGAGAATCCACCTAGGGGAGTTGGAAAACCCTGATTCCAAACCAATAGTGCACGTGGACTCCAGGATCCTGAAAGAAACAAATGGCGTATGAACCTGTTGTTAGTGACCGGCTACGATGGGACTGCGTCTCCTGACGTTGCTCCACTGCCTTGTGGACTAGACCTTTAGATCAAAGGCTTCGGGTGTAGCCTCCTAAGAACACCACATGCTTCGGTTTGGCACCCGGGCAGTATCACAGCCATCACAAAAATCAAATGATTTATGTGGTGCATGTATATTTGGTGCCTCCTTGTACCAATGTTTATGTGTTAAAATAAATAAAATAAATAAAACTTTAACACTGATACCTGTAAGCTTCTATTTTTTTGTTTTTTCTTAAACTTAGATATACACCTCAAACAATCGAATTAGAAACAAAGTTGAAACCATTTATTCCTGATTATATACCAGCTGTTGGAGATATTGATGCATTTTTAAAAGTTAGTTGTTGTTCTCAAACAATATTTCAGATAAATCTTGTTACTAAAATAATTTATAATTCTCATAGCAGATAAGTGGATAGTTTAAAATAATTGTATAATTTTAACTGAAATATCTTTCATTCAGATTACTTATGTTATAATAATGCGTAAGGAGATTGTGTGTGAAAATACAGCAAGAGTTGGTTATTTTCATCAATATGTACCCTAGTGAATACAATGACCAAATGATAATTACTGCCAAATGTCGAATTGATGACATAAGATTACCGAATGAGTAAATATCTGAAGATAATAATTGTTAAACAAATTATTGCTTTATATTTATTTTTCTTTTATAGAGTAGATTCAAGCAGTTACTGTTGAACAATCAAATTCTTATATAATACAGAAGTGACTTGATAATGAATATCAACCAGAATAAAATTTTGTTCTCCCTACCGATTAATTTTTAGCCATCTAAGATATTAAACTTCTTTATTGGTTTTTACGACATGGACTACCATTAAGTATATAAATGTGACATTGTGTTATTGTACAATGTTCATAATATCTTTGAAGCTCTATTTATGCTATGAAAAGTAAACTCTATATGGCAAATCTTTCAGTTTCATTTGTTTTTATTGCATGCATAATCAGATTCATAATTCTATGTTTTTAAATAGTTTGTTTAAAAATGTATGAATACATTGCAGAAACAGCGTACATTTCGACTTCGTCTATTTAGATCATTTAAAAATCTATTAGCGGATAATTCAAATGGTTTTGATAAATTTCTATCAACTGTAAATTATTTTTTAATATCTTAACTGATGTTTTCAAATATACATTTTAATTCTACCGAAATAGGTGCCCAGACCAGATGGTAAACCAGATTATTTAGGTTTATTGGTCTTGGATGAGCCATGTGCTAATCAGTCAGATCCCACAGTACTTAATTTACAATTGAGAGCTTTGTCAAAGCAAACTGCAACAAAACAAGTAGTAAGTTCTGTGTGTATTTTTTTAGTCAAATAATTTCATTGAATTATGATATATCCCAACGAGAATAATAAATGGTAACTGTGGGGATATATTTATGGACTAATACAAAACATATATTTTGTTGTATAATTGTTAAGCAGCTAACCTATGCGTATTAATGTTCCTCTTATTATGAGCTTTATTTTGACCCATAGACTATTATTATACGATTCATTATTCTCAAGTTATGCCCAGTTTATTAATTACAGTCTCCCACAATCACAGCCACTTTTGGCTAGATCTTGCACAAATGTTGGTTTCTATTTTATGAAGCGATGTATTCTGTTTGGTTTGTATATAAACCCAATATATTTGAAATAAATGATTCATATCACGGAGACTGAGATTGGTGTTCTGAACTCAACAAGCAGGGTTAGGTGAAAAGTACCGATAAGGACTCCAGATTGCTCGTACGGGTTTATACGACATTGGTCCGGTAGATAAGTCACTGTTCTCTAATCGGTGGTATCATTACGTCATATATTAATAGGGAACAAGGTCATTAGGTATAACAAATTATTTTCTTGATATTCGGATTTTAAACCAATTACCCATAGAGCTATTGTTTAGTATTTAATTTATCATTTACTTATGGGCTTTTTGGAGGTTGCAATGGTTTGAAAATAGTTTTTAAAATAAATTAGAATATCAATACGGGGGTAGTGGGAATTTTTGAGTTGTACTAAGATCATAAATTGATTTAAGTTAGACAACTAATGAAAATCTGAAAAAATCGGACGGCTGTCTCATTCTAGTATAATATTATATTGGTTCGAACCCAATACCTTTGAATCTCCAGAGAACATGAGGTCTTCGGCTAAGAATTGAGAACTTTATAACTTATGTTTTTTCAACTTCTAATAATTCATTTCACATTATCGGTAATGAAGTTTATGATTGTCATCATGAATAAATATGTCGGTTTTCAAGACTAATTCACTGAAATTACTTAGATGTTTTATGACCATGAATCTAACATCATTGTTCGCCGATACTCCACTCAGGTAGAATGTTGAATCTATCTGTGAACAACTTACAGAAGAGGGAACAGAGACTATAATCCATATGGATATCGTCAAGAAATTATTAATAAAATGTTTTTGGTGGAGTTTTATTCTCTGAGCTTCAGTTTGTGCTGATGATGTCGTTCAGAAGAACGATGAAAGCTCCACGATCAAACCATCCAGCTCAGAGAACAAAACTCCACCAAAATCATCCACCTGAGCTACAAATCTTCTCCACCATCTCAAAATTATTAAAATGTACTACGAACATTAACTTCATATTCGATGGCGAAATATTTAGACTAATAAATGGTGTTGCGATAGGCTCACCACTAAGTCCCATGTTAGCTGATATTTTTATCACCAAACTAGAAAACGGTCCATTAACACAGGATACTGACAAGTCTTCTTTTAACTGTTGATATATAGACGATAATTTCATCCTTTTTAACCACCATACTAACCGGATGAAGATACTCCAGAGATTTGATGAAATTCATCCGTCTATTAAATTCACATGTGAGGAAGAAAACAGAGGTAGAATAACTTTTCTAAATGTATTACTTACGAAAAGAATAGATCGGTCACTAAGACGGAACTTAAACGAGAAAACCACTTGGGTTGGCCAATATCAGTCAGTCAGTCAGCTACAACGTAGGACCAGGCACATATATGCATCGGTCCAAGTTGCCATACCTAATTAACACAACAAGATGGACACCGGATTCATAAAAGTAATTAATTCAGAGGTGGAATATAAATAAGAAAGGTTTCAATAAGGATATAGTACAGGAAGAAATAATTAGTTCGTAGAAAGAAAGATATGAAGCGATTTTAATCTCTTAGTTTAAGGGAAGACAGGGAGTGTATACACCGACGCCATTGGGATCGATTCTGAGTCATGTCACACAGTCTCCAACCATTGGTTACGATAGTCACGTGGACCCCAACCAAGTAGTCTGCATCTACCAACATGGCTCAGACTAGAATTTAGTGACCTCAAGCACTGATGTCACGTTTTGATTTGACCGCCCCTAACTTTCTTCCAACCATTTCCAACACCAGTTAGCATTGCACGTCGTGGTAATCGGTGTTCGGGCATACGTAACACGTGGCCCAACCATCTCAGCCGATGAAGATTCACGACCTCATCGACTTATTTACCATCATTCCCTAATACCCTGCGTCGAACCTCCCTATTACTTACCCGGTGATCCTTAGTTGTATTCCACTACAATATAGAAGGAACCTGGTTAAAACACTTTATTATAGAATCAAGACTATATACTCCCTAGATGTGGCCGAAGAATCAAATGCATTGTATACTAAGAAATATTATTATATTATGGTATTACTAAATATGAATATATTCATAACATCCATAAAAACACAGAGCAGTAAATCAGCTTAGTGAAATATTCAGAAAAAGCAATAAGACAATTGCATTTTTATTGACTATAGAAACAAAGGATATACAGTATGAAAAGAGCAAACAATTGTGAATTGGTAGATATCCTTATCCTTTTTCTGAGTCTTCAGTTATCTTATAGGGTTAATGAATGTTTTTGTGGGGTAGTGCTTAAATCAACGTTTTAATTTATAACGAAATCTCAGTAACATTTAAAATTGGTAGAGTAATAAGCAATTTTTTTTCAGTTTACTTTTAGAAAACAAGAAACCATGAGTTGTAGTTTTAATTGATTGTTCTTATTTTTTTCAAAAAAAAATTGCAAATTTTAGATAGTTAAAAGTATTGAAAACGCTGAACAACAAACAAAAGTCATAGAAAATTGGATTAAAAGTATAACAGAGTTGTATAGAGCCAAACCTGCACCAACTGTACACTATACAAGGTGAGTAGATTACATATACAGAATAGTTCACTTACAGCAAAATAATGTAAAACTTTAAGCCAATAACTTGCTGACTAGTGTAAATGCGCACTGCTGAGAAGTCCCATATCAGGAATAGGCTATCCATTGCTTACGAATTTCCAATGATGGTATAATATTGATTGGTTCATGATCTCAATTAAAACTGAACAATCTCCAATGAATAGTTACTACACTGTAGCTTTGTCGATAGCGTACACTTAGAGTGATATCGTAGTGCACAAAACACAGGTGGGAACAACCAAATGTATTTAACACAAAATTACAGAACATGTCAATAAAATCTAACAATCATATAGTAAATGCTCAATTTGCAAAATGACCACCAATTGTCTCAAAATGGCCCAGACTTCATTTTTCTTGTATTTTCATACAAATTGCATCCTGTTTCCATTCTTTACTGTTCGGTCCTCCTGTCTCTGCTACCAGACCTTCTGTTCACGACTAACATCATATGCTACTTATGTCAATATAAGTCAATGTCAACCAACATGAGATTGATTACTACTTGAAGAAAAACCAATGAAGACCTGGAACGGTATATAGGTAGCTATCTGATTATTTAATGAATCAGTGTTGCCATATTTTAGTTGGTAGATAGAAAAGTATATCAGATTCAATTTCCCGATTTATGTTAATGAAATTTATACATAGTTCACATGATTGAGTGAATAGAAGTAGGTAACCATTGAAAATCAGGAAATATTGGACAGATGTTTCTTTCTTGTATGAGAATCTTCAGCGGTGCATATCCACAACCCTATCAAGAGTTGACGCTAGGAACTGCCAGTCTTGTACCAAGGGCTTGACTTTAAGACTGGTGAGTTAGCATTCAGTGATTTGTATTTAAAACCAGTTGATTCACTGTCACTCAATCCCATTGTCGGGTAACTGAATAATATCTAACGTAGTTTAACTTTAGTGATTGCGACTTATCAGTAGGTTTCCTGAAATTACCTTCCGAAATCAATCACTAGTGAGCACAAGATTACTGTTGGTAACATGTTGCATTTATTAATTAATTCCAGTCGATAAGAGGTAAACTAGTAATAGGTTTAATTAAGATCCCGTTGAATAATCAACTCTATACCTTTCCATAGTTATGTTAAGTTTCAGCAATAAGTTCTTACGATAATGAGATAACATTGAAATCATATTATTTTTAGGTCTGTCAGAAGCTAATCTCTCATTAACTGATTGGCAAATGTTATATTGATATTATTCTTAGATATATATATATAATGGATGCGCTCACAACATAATATTCATTGGTTTGTTTAAATTAAATCCAACATTGTTTTTAAAAGAAATTGATTTATTCCCAATTTTACAGAAACATGCCAGAAATATCTGAACTTATGGCTGTATGGCCAACATCTTTTGAAGAAACCATAAATAATATGCAGTTATCACTATCTGAGTTGGATTGTAGTTTAAAAGATTATGTAGATATAATCTGTGGTATGTGTAACAAAATTATGAATCATGATCTTATGTTATACATTTCGTGTGAAATTTCTCTAATCTGTTGTTAATTAATGATTTTCATACAACGATAATACTACATCTAAAATTCATTGTCACTTATAAATAAACGAACAGAATATTGTAGAATGTATAATATAATTGTATCGGTTGAAATTATGCAATTATGAGTGAATTGAAGCTAGACCACCATGAAAATACCTGGTCTAGCTTTGATTCACTCATGATCTTGTAGCGTGGAGTCGAATTGGGATTAACTATGAACACCACTACCAATAAACACGTACCAAATAAATCAGAAGGCGAGGGTTGAACGTTACCAAATAAATCCATAAAATCCCTGAGAAGCCAAATATCAGAAGGCAGTTGATGGACCAAGTCGAGATATATTTGCTGGCGATCTAGTGGTATCGAAAGGATACCGAGATCGTGCCAGGATACAAGCTTGGTTACAGAACGTAACCGAATTCGCGCTAAGTTACAATCAAAGTGTAAGAATAAGAATGGAAGCACAATATAGCTGTGATTAGCACAGTCAAACAAAAGCACATTAAAACAAGCACTGGTACAGTTGGTCATAATAATAATTGTTTTTATTAAACCAGTCGTGTTCTCGTGATAAATGTGAGTCACTACAATCTCAACCATTGAAATTACTATAATATCCACAAAAACCATTCTCTAAATATATAAAGATTCTAAGTATTAGACAAAGAAATATGTATAGAGAAACAATATGTTGAAGGGTTTAAGGAAAGATTTATTTCATTTGAGCTGTTCAGTTTTTAATAGATTAAGAGTTACAGTTAAGTTGAACACATTGTCTTACAAAGCTTATAAAAAGATTTCATGATTTCAGAAATGAGTATTATATTTATCTCTGATCCTTCTGAAATTTATTCTTTTCTTCACCTAATGCGGATAGTGTTACATATCAAGATAGGCGCTACCACGGTATGCATAAAATAGGTACAACACACTGCTGTCACTGTAAGTTCACACACACACAGAGAGAGATTATAAGATGTCAATCCGAACTAGTTAACTTATCAATACCACTAACAAGTACACTTCGATAATAGCTGCGTTCCAATCTCAACTAATCAAACGCGATACAGTCATAATGTCCTCATCTGCACAACTTATACAGCTTTGAAGACTTTCCTAGGTTTCTACTGAATCCATTCCATGATGTAAACTAAAATTCAATTCAGTTATGAACATGATCTCCTGAAAGATTATAAAAAAACCTAATTTTTTCAGGAAAACATTTAAAGAAATAATTCCAATAAAAATATGCATATTGTACTTATTACTGGACATGTGAAAAAAATACTTGCGATAATTACAGGCACAAGAATCAATATTCATTACCCATTATGAAAGGATTCTCGGGAAGAGATCATAAAGTGTTGTAGACTAATAAAGATTTATGTGTTCTACTTCCTCTTAAACTCCCTATTTGCACATAGACTGTATAAATATTAAAATGAACGAATTAATTATCAAACAAAGTTACAAGTTTAGTTAATAACCGTGAAGTTGCATGATCTTTGTAAGTTTATTTTTACCTGTATAATTTTTCACAGCTTTTATCCATAAAATTTTAGCTATCTGTATCAACTAGCAACTTCAACAGTTTATATTCGTGGAGGTTTGATTGGGATAGATATTTAAAAGTCCATTCCAACTGGACTCATTAACAAATTTAGATAACATCAAAACTGTAGGTATCATTACCAAGGTTTGACTTGATAATTGCGAATAATTTGAGCATTGTGTAGATTGTTATAAACAAATTAATATATTTGTAAGATCCCAATGACTAGAAAAATTAGGTTTTCTGATGTTTCGTAACTTAGTGTAAGCCAATTCTTCAGAGAATATATAACAAAATTAAAAGTTATCCAAGTTTAAATAGTACAACGAAACAAAAAGAATATGTGATCAAAAGACAGGTCTAAACAAGTTAATGTCATGTCATTTCGGTCAAAGTGGTTCATAAGTGACATGTATGTAAATTTCTGTGTATGTATGTATGTACTGTTTAAGGATGAAAAATTGTGTTACCTTTATGGTGAGAAAGGATAGAGTTTAATTTGTAATTTAATAGTGTGAATTGTGAATAATATCAAACTAGGTGGCTATGATAGATAGTCCAAGTAAGATGTGTGGTAAGACCTTCTTTTCTATTGAGAGCAGTAGAATTAAGCATTATATGGAATGCATCAGCTACTTTCCTCTCTTTATAATTGGAAAAGCCTTTTTGTAATATTTTGATATTTTTGAAATCAATTTGGTGGTCGTTGAAAATGGCGTGAACTGCTATTGCTGATTTAATTTGTAGTCTATCCAGTTCTACGAGATTACTAGGAGGTTTCTTTGTGTACCTAATATGTTCTTTGGCACGAGTCAAGATTTCGCGAGATGACTCTCCAGCATAGAAGGCATCACAATCGATACAACCTAATTTGTAGATGCAGTTCCGTGTAGACATAGAAGGGGTTTTTTCTTTTAAGCGAACTGAAGTATTTCGAAGTGTGTTCGTTGTTTTGTAATATACTTTAATTCTGTATTGTTTTAAAGTACTTTGGAGTTCTGTTGTGCCATGACAGTATGGTAAAACTGCAGTACCAATCCATGGCATTTCATTCGAATTATTATTATTGTTACGTACTGAACTGTCTTGCTTTAATATACTTCTGATAATCTTCATAGGAAAATTATTAAATTGTAAGATACTAATTACATTCTCTTGTTCTTTGTTTTTATCCTCTTCTGATGTGATGATCTTGTTAGCTCTCCTAAAAAGATTTAGGGCTAGCGAGATCTTGGCACTGAAAGGATGTGCAGAATGGAAGTCAGTATAACGATTTGAGTGTGTAGGCTTTCGGTAGATGGATAAATTCAGAATTCCATTTAGATTTCTTTTCACTAAGTAATCTAAAAATGTAGCTCACCATGTTCATTTTTATTCGTGAATTTGATGTGAGATGAAAGAGTATTTATCCTTTTTGAAAAAGATCTTAGATGAGTCTTTTTTATCACAGCAAATGTATCGTCTACATATCTAAGCCGAATTCGTGGTTTAATGTGGGTGAAAATATTTTGATTATATGTGTGCCATTAAAAGGTTGGCTACAATCGAGGACACAGGGGAACCCATTGCTACACCGTTAGTTTGTTTGTATAACATCTCGTTAAAAGTGAATAGAGTCGAATTTTAACACTATGTCACGAAACGTCAGAAAATCTAATTTTTCTACTCATTGGGATATTACAAATCTATTATATTTATTCATAACATCAAAACTATTTACAGAATGCACAAATAATTGATAGTGTTTCTTTACTGTCTCATTTGATGATCTAATAGTTGAATTACATTCATTTATTTTATAATGATGATCTCTTTCTTTACCTACTAATCTTCCATCTTTTTAAAGCACTTCTAGACATTCCAGTTTACAACAATCGAATACATTCATTACACTTATTATTTTCTTTATATTTGGAATTTAAAAATTCTCAAGTAAGTTAAAAGATTTTTAGAATTTTATTTGGTATTCAAAAATTTTCTGGTTATATCCTTCAATGGAGGAAATAATCTTAGAGAGGTAAAAAATCTAATGTAGATAAAAAAAGACCTCGGATTTGTACTGCTTTTTTATAGCACTATAATCCCTAGTGTTATTATGCAACTAGCTGAATTATAGTAAATGGAGTTTATAATCAACCTGCTAAGGCTATCGAACCACTGCTCCAAATGATCAATTCTCTTGAATTCCCATTGGACTTGCAGCGGAAAGTGATATCAATGTTAGTCAATAAAATTAAGTATTTAGCTATATATATATTTGCATTCAAACAGAGAACTATGATTGGTAGATTTCAGTAAATACATAAGGCAACAATGACTGTCGCTTAGTGATGTTCATTTTTGTTTCGTAACATACATTGCGCAATCACCATTTCTAATGAAATGCAACTACTGTACATAAAATACTCAAAATATTTGGTTTAAGGTGTACACCACATGTTACATAAGATAAAATTGTAATCAATTCAAAATGTTACTAATTAAGAAAGTTATACTTTGAGTTTTCTTCATTTAACATGATCATTTCATTAACTAAAACTATTTTCATTCACTGTTATTTTTTGTTGTTGTTGACAGCATTTCCGTCAAAATGAATCCGTTATTACTTGATGTAATTACGAAATAGCAATGGTTATTGCAGTTCAATATCTTTGTACCTGTGAATATATGAATATAATTTTTACGAATTGTTTTGCATTTTACTTTGGATAATTTCCTCTAAATTAGCACATAGTTTTAATTTAGTATCGGATATAACTGCATGATGTTTTATTCAACTGCAAAGAAGTACATAAATATATATTCTAATTCAGTTTACTGGAACGATTGTAGTAAGTAAAATAAATTGTATATGTTGAACGCCAATTATAAGAAGTCATTATTTTAGTACGAGATAAACAATCAAATTAACTGTTTGAGGCAAGAATTTAAGTAAATTGACGCCATGCCAAATATCATACGATCGACTACTGAATTGGAAAAGTGGATATGGGCAATAACTACAATATCCAATATTTCTTAAAATAATTTTCCGTAACCATGAAAAACTATTTAGAAAACGCCTGTCACTAATCTATATAAGCATTCAGAGATAATATCCGGAGAGTCAAATATTCCAAATTGATATCTTTGTTTATCTCCAATAAATTCAAGTATCTTGGAAACGCAGTAGAATGGATCACTGATAGATTGTTTCAAATAATTTCAAAACACTTGAAAATTTGGGCGTAGATTTAGTTAAAATGTAAACATAATAACTGAACGGTATAACAAAATATGAATGGACATATTAATTGGAGAGTAATTTCAGTTCAAAAATGAAACTATAACATAATGTTATCAATGACACTTTAAAAAAGCAACCACATGTGAAATTCTACTTGAACAAATTTTTATGTGACACTATAGAAAAATTATCAGAATAAAAATAAAGCTGCCCAATTACTACTACTTGACAGCAATTTATTTATGTATCATTTTTGAGATGGTAACCATTATGAAGATGAGATCTGAAAGAGCTCACTGCAGATTGTCAAACGTTGGAATCTTGTTAACAAGAAAGTAGTTCTTATGTAAATTGTGAACAATAATTCACTGCACTCTGTTTGGCCTAAAATGCATTAATTTAATCAAGAGATCTGTGACAAATTAATCTTAAAGGTTGTTACTACTTTAAATTGACATTAACCAAGAAGTATTAGACTAGATCTTTAAAATATGTACGTAAGTATTTATCATCTTCATAGCTTGTATATCTGCTAAACGTTTTATGAGTAACATTGCTGATACAGTTAGTACATTTAAACATATGTTATTTAGATATTATTTCAGTCACTCAGACATCTACAACGTAGGACCAGGCACGCATATGCATCGGTCCAAGTTGCCATACCTCATTAGCACAGCAAGATGAACACCGAATTCATAGAAGTGGTTAATTCAATGGTGGTAATATATAATAGAAAGATTGTATATAAGGATAAGATACCCAGAGAAACAATCAGTTCGTAAAAAGGTATAAAGTAATTTTAATTTCACAGTTTAAATGAAGACAAAAAGTGTATACACCTATTCCATTGCGATCGATTCTGAGCCTTATCACCCAGTCTCCAACAACTAGTTACGATAGTTATGCGGCCCCCAACCAAGTAGTCTGCATCTACCAACATGGCTCAGACCAGAAGTTAGTGACTTTATGAACTGATGCCACATTTTGGTTTGGCCCCCATAACTTTCTCCCATCCATCTACAACACTAATCAGCATTGCGCAGTACGGCAGGCGGCGGTTGGAGATGCGTAATACATGACTCAACCATCTCAGTCGATGAAGATTTACATCATCAACTGATTTACCGTCATTCTCTAATACCCTGCGTCTAACCTCACAATTACGTACCCGGTGATCCCAGCAGATGCGAGCAATATCTCTAAAACATCTGTGATTAAATACTTGTATTTTACGAGTATCCTTTTATTATACAGGAACAATTATTTTCAAAATATTTGCAACTATTTTAAAAAATGAAGAAAAATCTGTGAATTAAATGGAATTTCGAATGTTAATATGACAATAAACATTCACTATTACAAAAAAAGAATTCCAGAAGACCAAATAAAATTCGGATATTGACATCAAGTGAACTGTCTTATTCATTCTTTGTACAGAAATAAATAGTTTAGTCAGATATTGATAAATGTCTTTTCTTTCAATTTATCGAATTGCATAAGAAAATGTTACTTATTATCAAATCACGCATAGATATTGTTATTATGATCCAGTAAACCTTTCAATAGGAAAGATAATATAATCAAAACTACAAGGTAACAAACAAAATGAGAGCAAAAAAATAATATTCAAATTGATCAATACTCCTTGAATCAACATTTCTCTATTTCTTCATCATCTTCATATTCTTTTAATTTTATAGCATAATCCAAAAATAATTCCGATAAATGAATAGCTAGTTCTGATATACCAGAAACATTTTCTAAATTAGTTAAAATAGCCACATTAATTGGCGGAATATTGGCTGCTTTTATTCGAACATCTACTGGATATATTTTATTCACTGGAGATACTATTACAGTGTTATTTTGTACAGATGAAATGAAATTATGATTATTATCCGTAGTAGAAAAAGTGTTTCCTTCATTTGTCTTATTAGGAATATTATCATTATTACATAACAAAGGGAGACTAAGAAGAAGAACAGTTGTACCACCCACTGAACCACCTGTATGCAATGCATATAATCGGTCAGGGTATCCATTTTCTTTAGTTGCTGGATCACCTGAACGTCTGGAAGAAGAAAAAAAGTCCACACACATAAAACGTATTAATAACAAGGAATAAAACATTTATAAGTCTTAGCCGTGTATAGTGCTTTGAATGAGTGAATAAATATTTATCCATTAGATCATTTGTTCGAACTCTGACATAACCTTTCAAAATTTAAGTAGTCAATTAATTCTATTACCTGGTGCACATAGTAAATACAAACTTATCGCAAAATATATTATGTTGAATGTATTTTCCTAATGGCGTTTTCACTTTATGTTGGATAGAATAGTGTTTAGACATGTTTATAGTTGGAATCTACACATACTACCGGTTTCGACGACTCCAATTTCATTGAAATTTTAATATTTATGTAAGGCGATCTCCTTAGTAGACTAAGTGTTTGGCATACAAATATGAATAGGTTGTTTTTCTATCAGTTCGATACAATTTAATACTTTTATGCTAGCAGATAATGAAATCTCATATCCTGGTTATAACATTATTCCATTCAAAAAATAATAATCTATTGAGATGATAATATTTATCGCTTGCTTATCAGTTCTATTTCCTAACAAAGCAATTTTTTTCCCTTTAAACCAGTTGAAATTTTGACAGATGACAATTCATAAGTGTAAAGTTAGAAAAGCATTTAACGATATACTGAACAGTTTATGTAAAACAGGAAAGTTCACTAGTCAAACAGATGAATTGTGCTTTTTATCAGTAGCGGAATGATGTATGGATGGATATTTACTAATACTTTATAAACACGAAATATTTTTAAAAGCCCCCGAATGCCTGGTACGGCTGACAGTGGGGAGAGTTAGCTCTCCCTTTCGAAGTGCTCTCACACGGCCACGCGTATACAGCCACTGCCAGGGAAATCCTACTAACTGCCTTCTCGCGGCGGGGGTGTTGTCTAAGAAATTGAAAGTTAGAAAAGCGAATGTCGGTGGCATTAACCAGGTTGCTGGACACGGAGAGTCCACCTAGGGGAGTTGGAAATCCCTGATTCCAAACCAATAGTGCACGTGGGCTTCAGGATCCTGAAAGAAACAAATGGCGTATGAACCTGCTGTTGGTGACCGGCTACGATGGGACTGCATCTCCTGACGTTGCTCCACTGACTTGTGGACTAGACCTTTAGGTTGAAGGCACCGCAGGAAAACCACCTGCTTCGGTCTGAGCACCCGTGCAGTATCACAGCCCATACACAAATCAAGTGACTTGTATAGCGCATATGTATTCGGTGCCACTCTGTACCAACATTTATTTGTTCAAATAAATAAACAAATTTAAAAGCAAGTATATATTAGAAAAAAGAATCTTAAAGAATTCTAATAATTACATTCACATAGCGATCTCAAAAGGAATTATACATATTGTGTCATTTAGTTTAATGTTGATGAATAATTTACCGGTTAAATATTTAACTATATTGAAAATCATTTTGATTACTTTACGTTTATTCAATTCTATTGTGAAATATTGCCTTAGAATAAAATAATTTGTACACACACATCATTTAAACAATACATAGACGTAAGAGAAATGACGAAATAAAAAATTGTTATGAAAATTACCTGGCTAAAAACCAACCCAGTCCAGGTAATGTACTTCGATCTGGTGGTACACAAGAAACTTTCCATAATAATTGATTCAAAGTAGACTGTTTAACAATTCCATATGATTCAAGCCAACCCATATAAATAAATGCTAGATGATCAGCTAAGCGAATTAGATCACTAGCTGTAGAAAGAATACCTCCACCACCCCATTTATATGAATTATCAATTGTGGGAGTGTTTGTAAGTATGCCTTTATCGGAACGACAATACTGGCTTGGAAAAGATAAAATAATTTCATTTAAAATAAAAATCGGTACAAATTGATTATCGACTCACTGGTAATAATTAGAATACAATGCTATCTGTGTAATTTTGCGGAAAAAATTATTTCGATCTGATGTGAATGCTAGATCCCCAGAAATCAGTTGGTAAACGTCTTATTTTTGTAACTTTATTTTGGAAATTTGAACTTCTCGTTTTCGCGCCAAAAGCGCCATATTTATCCTCAGATTGTGTTTCCCGCTTGATAGATCTTTAAATGTCATTGGTCTGTTCCCTCTTTTCATACGCTATCATTTGGCGTTCCCAAAGGATATTTTAATACTGTATATATACGCTTGAGTTGTGTGCTTGGTTCGTTTATGTTTCTGACTGCTTGTGGAATATACCTTTCCCTCATCTGAACCTGATCTTCTCCCTCTGGTTAGCAGGGCTGGGACACATCGGGATAGTTTAGCTTGTCTTTTTGTTGTGTTGCTGATCCTTCGTTCCATTCGCCTATTTTAGGTACTCTTGTAATCTCTTCAAACATAGCACAATAGCTATCTACATGCCTATTAA